GCACATAAAAGTGAAGAGGCTCGTTTAAATACGTAGAGAAAACCATGCAGGAATTCATTGGCTCAGGGATGGCCACATCAGAATTCCCCTTTAAAACTTTCAATCTACTAAACCACGGCTTGCGGTTTTTCTGCCAGCATACCTAGCTATGGCCAGAGATAAGGTACCCCGGAGCTCTCCAGGACTCTTCATCACAGGTGCACGAGAACACATAAACTGCCCCTGATTTTTTTGAGGCCACCCTTTTCTTTCCAGAACCCGAGACCTGGTTTTCTACCAACCAGGGAGCATCTCTGTCTTGCTTGGATCAGATCTCAGTTGGTTTGCTTCATTAAGCCTCTAGACACTTGCTGAGGGGTTTTCACTGCCTCTTTCTTAAATGCAACTACTGTAATCATAACAACATCAAAGCTCTTGAATATATTTCAGCATAAGATTAGTTAGACCTGTTGGGTTAAACCAACTGTTAGCTTAGCCTTCTGTTTCCAAATCAATAAATGTCGGGCATGTTAATTGTTTGGAAACAGGAGTCCCACTTTTATGTTCCTGTGTAGATGGCTGTTTGTTTGTTTGTGTTTTGCAAAATACTCCAAGGATTCACCTACAAACAAGGCAGTTGTATGTCTTTGCAGACACAGATGGCATCTTGAGTCTTTTAAATATTACAGGACAAGCAACCATAATATATTGCACATACAAAACTAGTTCTAACGCAGATGCCTGTAGTACAAATTCTATATGCTGTCAAAATACCGTATTTTGCATTTTACGATTCTTGTTTTATTAAGCACTGTTCCGTTTTAGCAGAAACTGTGTTCAATACCATTTTTGGAAGTGTCACTCCAAATAATACATAGTATCGCTGCCAAACTAACCCTGGTAGAAGTAGTGAAGGAAGGATAGTTCTAAAGTTAATACTAGTAAATTGCTGAGCAGACGACTCTGGAAACCAGACCACAAGACAAGGTCTTGGAGGTTTAAAAGTATCAGTGACTCTGCTATTAATTTGTGGACTAAATTATCCTTGATAACCAATTTATCTGGTAAAGCAGGAAAAATTGTTTGACAATAAATGCTGCAAGTCTACTAAAGAAAGCCTTTAGAGGCCCATTTTCAGATGTGGCTAGAACTAACACAGGAGGAGGGATGTTCATATAGGTAATATGGTTGCATATTTTATAGAACAGCATCAAACTAGAATGACAGGATTTGCATTTTCAGGTGCAAAATACTACAGCGATAAACATTCAGCTTCTTAATTACAAAGGAAGAAACAATGAACTTGTGAAGAATATTTTGGGATATCCACATGATCTGTACGTCCTCACTCATATGCATGGTACACACTGAAATAATGTCACCCAGCCATCGTGCAGTTGAAGGAACGGAGAAGGAGGCACATTGGCACGCAAAGTCAGCCTCCAGGTGTGACCGGGGTGGAATCTGTAAAGGTAAAGGGACCCCTGACCATTAGGTCCAGTTGTGACCGACTCCGGGGTTGCGGCGCTCATCTCGCTTTATTGGTCAAGGGAGCCAGCGTACAGCTTCCAGGTCATGTGGCCAGCATGACAAAGGCGCTTCTGGCAAACCAGAGCTGAGCACGGAAACACTGTTTACCTTCCCGCCAGAGTGGTACCTATTTATCTACTTCACTTTGATGTGCTTTTGAACTGCTAGGTTGGCAGGAGCAGGGACCAAGCAACGGGAGCTCACCCTGTCGCGGGGATTTGAACCGCCGACCTTCAGATCGGCAAGTCCTAGGCTCTGTGGTTTAACCCACAGCGCCACCCACATCCCTGTGTATATATATAGCTCACAATAAATATACTGCACTGAAGAACCTGGAACTCTGAGCATTTCTACTAAAGCACCACGAAGAATTCGCGGCACTAGCGCCTCCGACGGGTGCTGGAGGTGCGCCGGCACCGAATCCCCGCTCCGCCTCGCTTACCTCCCCACTCTCCCCACCCCAGACTCTCCTCAGACTCTCCACCAGGCGCCCTCGAGAGCATAGCACCCTGGGCCTGTGCACCACTTGCACCACTGGGTAGAGACGGCCCTGTTTTAAAGCATCTGAATAGCCAAGCCCAAACCTCTCTTTCTCAGAAGAGCTCTGATCCCAGATCCGTGTGGATATGTAGCCATAGTATCATTGTCTTCCAAGCCAATAACAATCCAGGTTGTCAAGCCGGGGCTCACATGCCGTTCACCTTTACCTACTTGGGTGTCAAGGAATGATCCAGGATCAGCTTTGGTCACTAAGCAAACAGGAAGGTGCAGGGCAGCTACCAGAGCTGGTAAATGTGCAGCTGGGCAAAAAAGATCTGAAAAATAGATAAGGACTCAACCTCAGCCTCACAGCCAGGTTGCACGATGACCAGCTGCTGTCCCACTCACTCTGCTCACCAACAGTGTCCCTTTGAGCTCCTGTTTTCCTGCCCAACAAATGCACACCTTCGCCTCCACCTGCCCAACTTCACATGATGTCCATGTACTCTGGCTTCTATCTACTTTGTGCCTTCTGATCCTCTCCCTCACTCCTTTCTCATTATGATAACATGGAGATTTTAATGTACAGGAACAGGTGCCTTTGATTTTCAGACTATTTCAGCCCCCACATGCAAGAATGCACAAGTACAGGACATCTTCGCTTTCCCTCAAAGGCCTTGTCTTCTTTTTCCAGATCACAAAGTGTTGCACCTTATTTAAAGGGCGGGCAGGTAGAGGCTGAGCTCAGTGTTTGCTGGCTAGGACGGAGACACCCAGCGGCGTAGCATGGGTTGTCAGCACCCGGGGCAAGGCAAGTAATTTGCGCCCCCTAACCCGGGGCAAGGCAAGTAATTTGCGCCCCCTAACCCCTAACCTGCCGCCGCTGCCAGCTTCTTCTTGCTGCTGCCTGGGCTGGGGTATTTACGGTAAGGTAGCCACGGCGGCGGCGGGGGGTCCGTGTCAGGTGATCTGAGGCGAGTTGCCGTGGGCACTGCCGCCCAAACGACGCCGCTTGCCCAGAGGAGGAGGAGGGCAGAGAGGCGAGGAAAATGCAACATGGCCCAGCAGCTGCAGCAGCAGCGGCGGCCGCGGGGCTGTGAGGAGGGGCTGCCTGGCGCGCCCTCCACGGCCCTGACACGCGGGGACCGTGGCGAGCACTGAGAGCCGCTGCCAGCTCGTCAGTTCCGCGAGGCATGGGGCTCTGCTACAGCCTGCGCCCGAGGCTCTTCGGCGACTCCGGAGGCGGCGAGCGCGCCCCCCCAGATGTTGCGCCCGGTGCGGCCGGCCCCCCTGCACCCCCCACGCTACGCCACTGGAGACACCTGGGAGCTCAAAGATAAATTGAGGGAGAGCAGAGTCAGTGGCTGAGTGGAAATGGGCAACATGAGCATGGACCACCTCTTGCTATTGCTGTTAGTTACACTGCCAATAGAAGTGCTGCCCCAACACATAAGAAAACATTGTGCCCGCCATTACTTCAAGGCAGTTGAATATATCTGTGAAATGTACGATCACGCAAGCTCCCTGCTGGACGATCTACAGTATTCCGGTCCCCCACGTGTTGGTAAGTGATTCAGCCAAAGTTGAGCTACCAGCCAGTCCTTCACCATGTAGCTTGCTGCTCTTTTGTATTCCTGTTCAAGAGAAGTAAGGTGGCTTCTATAATGGGGTTTTCCATATTTTGGGCCAAAGCTCCAGTTTTTAGTTAAAATCTGTATAAGTGGGTACAGGAAGAAAATAAATGGATCTGTTCGGTTTAATGCACAGTCTGCAGACGGATGTTTTGTTTTGTTTTTAACCCAAGTGAAATGATCCATGGTCAGCTTTTGGAGAGAAAATGTTTTTATCTTTGGGAGGGTTTCTTCTCTGGTTTTAGAATTCCTGTATCATTCCCCCCAAATTCAAGAAGCCCACCTAACCAAAAGTCAGTTAGGGAGATGCCTGAGGTGGCAAAAAAAGAGATAATAAAGGAAATTTCTGCAGGGCGGATGGCCAGCCCCTTTGAAAGCCCCTGTATTCCTAATCTGCATCTCTCACCATTAGGGATCGTATCCAAAAAAGCCCCGGGGGAATTTCGCCTTATTCACAACTTCTCTTATCCCAAAGGAGGCTCTGTAAATGACACTATCCCTGCCGAACTGCATTCTGTGAGATATGCCTCCTTGGACCAGGCCATTAAGCTCATTAGGAAATTTGGTAGGGGGACCCTGCTGGCGAAATGTGATGTAGAATCTGCTTTTCGCCTTCTTCTTGTACCACCTCAGGATTTCCAATGGTTGGGTTTTAAATCTGAAGGGGCCTTCTATGTCGACAAGGCAAAGCCTATGGGATGCTCGGTGGCTTGCGCCGCCTTTGAAACATTTGGCACCTTTATAGATTGGACTCTTCACTTCTTCGCTGTTGAGTCCGAAGGCCTCGGGGTTTTTTGAGGAAGCTTCAAGGGTCACGCGCCAGTGGTGGGAGGGTTAAAAGCAGAAGTGAATGGAGCAATGGTTGCTATGCACAGCCCTCTCTATCCAGGCAAGCAAGCGTTATTATCCAAGCTCAAGACACATTCCAATCAGAGGGAAAACACTGGAGGCGAACGTGAATCAGAGACCGTGAGAGGTGTGGCCTGGGGACAGATAAGAGGGCCTGGAGAGTTGCATTTGGCCTTCTGGCCTGAAATCCCCCCCACGATTGCAATCACAGAAGTGTTCAAAAGATTACCACCATCATCATGAGAATGTAAGTCAATCATACTATACTAGATCAAACAAATACATTTTTATTTACTTAAAAACCACTATGGAAGAACTCTTTGTTGCATTACACAAAATTCCCTGAGGTTTCTTCCTTTTTTTAAAAATAAAATAAAATATGGAATATGAAATCCTTGATCACATAGAAGATGTGCTTCTGTCACGGTCAGACGGCTGCATCTGTTTATCCTGGTACCTGTTGTCGCTTTAAACCTTATGCTACTATGATTTCGGTTAATACGGAACCTAAACAAAAACAATACACGTAAATAGTCTACAAAAAAGAAAATATATTTCATGTACAACCTGTTTTAAAATCAACTTCAAAGCAATGTACAAATGTGCAATGTATTCGACCAAAAGCAGTTTAAAAATATACATTGTGAAACTGTCTCTTATAATGCAAACATTTCCAGCCATTTAAACATAACGTGATGTTACAAAACATGGCTACCCACAATTTCATTCCCACGTTCTCCTCCTTCTGCCAATCCCCCGGCAGTTGCTTGCATAATTCTCTACTCTTACAAATAAAATAAATGTCTTTACCAGAGGAAAAGACGCCGGCGTTTCCCATCTCTACTTACAAGCGCGTGTGAAACACCCCTGAACGATAATCTCCTGCATGTGTGAAAGGAGAGCTTCACACGTACCCAAGAGCCATTAAATCAGCACATGCCAGAGCACACAGGGGCACAAAATATTGGTAGACTGGAGCTCACTTGCTAAGTAATTGCAACTTTTGGAGGTACTTCTTAGCCTCATGCAAAACTCACATCGCTGCACCCTCCTCCATTTTTGAAGTAGGTACATAAGTTCATAGCACATCTAAGCACGTTCTGCCATACACCGAAGTACATTTCAAGTTTTCATTCCGTCGCCATAGTGGAAAGCAACAACCTCTTTCAACCGACGTCCCCCCTTTTTGATTTTAGGAAGCAAACATCTTCTCAGCACCTTCTCCCAAGGAGGATACTTCTATCGCAAGTCACCAAAGCAAGGCTTGGTGGGCAACCAGTGAGAGAAGAGGAAATACCCAGTGCCCTTCTGTTAAAGTATTCTGGCCAGCTCTGAAGCGGACAGCCAAATTATTAGGGGCAAGAAAGAGAGTCTGATGCTACGACCTGCTTATTACTCTCCGCGTTCCTAGGCTGGCAAATGCAAATTTGCGCCACCGAGTCCGGTGCGCAAGCAGTTACAGCGGCTCTATATTTCATTCACAACTTAGGCTGTGTACAAGTAAGGAAAAATCACATGGCTACCCTTACACAAAGCCAAATTGTTCAGTAACCTGAAGAAGACTAGGACGGGCCAGATGGGTGACATTTGTTCTTCGTAAGATCGGAAGCCTGCTTTCTATTTTGTGCTGACTGGGTCACCCAGTAAAAAGTTGAAGAGGGTAGAAAGGGAAAATGCAGCATCCTTGAAGGTTGGCGAGGCTAGCAAAGTTTAGCATGGGGAACATATTAAGCTGCTGCCGATGACATGATTTAAAAAAACTGTGCCTTAAGGAAACGCAGTCAGGGCTTGACATATCCACAACATACATAGGAAAATAGACTGCTATATATACTTGTTCATTTAAAAATGCAATTTTCAGCAGGTGTTTGTTTAAAAAAATATCTCTTCTCATTTGTTCCCTTTCCTTTGAAGTATTTACAGTACATCACACTGCCTGAACAGACATCTCTTCTCTGGCTGGCTTAGACAGGCACACAGAAGTTGCTTAAACAGCTTTTTTTTTTTTTTTAAAAAAAGCCTTTCTTCTACATATTAAAGCCGTAACGGCATGACAATGTAAAAAAAGTTTTAAAACTAATAAACAGCAACAAACCCTTTCATAAAACAGCGGCTCTTGTGCAATGCATGGAACAGGAGGCTAAATCGCTCAGATTTCACTGCAGGAAAACGTCAAAAAGGTATTCCAGCAGCTGCTTTCTGCAACTCAGGCTTACTCAGCGACGGCTTGCAGGGCACAAAACACTTCTGCAACTGAGCCTCAACTTTGTACTGCTGCCGTGTTTTGAGCGGTTCTTGTGCTGGCACAACATTGGGCAGTTGTATGACATAAAAGCTATCGCCAGGACCCATCAGCAATCTTCTCTCATCCTGACTGGTGCTTTGTGTTTCTCTGCTACACTTATATTATCCTTTTTATATATATATAAAATCTTTAAGTCTCTCACAGAATTGCATAACTGCACACACCTAAATAAATGTTCATCTACGCAAAGGAACACACCGTTCCAAGCTACGTGAAAGGTAGCCTCGTCTGGTATACCATCACCTCTTACGGCAGGCAGAAGTGGACAAAGGTATCAGGGGGAGGGAACAAAATAAGGGGTAGCGAAAAGAGGAACCCATGCACGGGTAATTCCATTAAGTGCAAACATTTGCTCTTTTTCAAAGTGGTGCAGCTGGAAGCGCAAAGTCTTCTGCTACCAGAAACCCTGCAAGTCAACTGCTGCTGAAGAGAACAGTCCTATGTATAGCTCCTTACAAGTAAGTCTCATTGGTCAATAGCAATCCACAGGTAAGCAGGCACACGATTGCAACCTAAATCGCCCAATCTTCTTATCTTTCCATAAGTCCCCTGTCTGACATCATCATTCTTTTCTGCAGTTGTCCTATTAGGCAAACCACGGTGATGCTTACTGATCATGCTGCGCTATTCTGCTTCAAGATAAAGGGGGGGGGAGCAATTCCTTTGCTATCAAAGTGCTTTTCATCAATGCATCGCGCTAGTATTCCCGATGAAGAAACTAAGCCGCATCCTTCGTCATCACGGGCAAGGTTGGATGGGATTGTTTTGCTGCCGTCTCTGAATGGGTGCGGGATAAGCAACGATCTGCAACGTCCCGAAGAACAGGACACACTTGCTGTGCATGTCGACAGGTCCCTTTGGGTGGATTCCGGCATGTTCACCCACCCATGCTCTCCCTTATGAGATCCACTCTCAGAGCAAGATCCCTGAAGGAGGGTCTCAGGCTGGCGCTGTTGTTCCAGCACTCCGTCATGATGGCATAGACCTTGGCAAGAGAGAAAACACCAGTATGAGATGAGGAGAAATAGAAGAAGAAGAAGAAGTTTGGATTTGATATCCCGCTTTATCGCTACCCAAAGGAGTCTCAAAGCGGCTAACAATCTCCTTTCCCTTCCTCCCCCACAACAAACACTTTGTGAGGTGAGTGGGGCTGAGAGACTTCAAAGAAGTGTGACTGGTCCAAGGTCACACAGCAGCTGCATGTGGAGGAGCGGAAACACGAACCCGGTTCACCAGATTATGAGTCTACCACTCTTAACCACTACACCACACTGGCTCTCAGTGCGGTGCGAATACTCGTGCGAAACCTGTCAGCAATCCCAGGCCAGCACATTTCTTCCATACCTTATGCAAATCCCCTCTCTTCATGGTTTCCACCATATACTATATCATCATCATTAGTATAATAATATTATTTATTTATTCATTCATTCATTCATTCATTCATTCATTCATTCATTCATTCATACCCCACCCATCTGGCTGAGTTACCCCAGCCACTCTGGGCGGCTCCCAATCGAGTATTAAAAACAATACAGCATTAAATATTTAAAAAACTTCCCTAAATAGGGCTGCCTCCAGATGTCTTTTAAAAATAGGATAGCTGCTTATTTCCTTGACATCTGATGGGAGAGCGTTCCACAGGGCAGGCGCCACTACTGAGAAGGCCCTCTGCCTGGTTCCCTGTAACCTCACTTCTCGCAATGAGGAAACTGCCAGAAGGCCCTCGGCGCTGGATCTCATAGAATTTATATACCACCCTATACCCGGAGGTCTCAGGGCAGTTCACAGAAAAGATAACTATATATAAAATCAAAATAAGAACAATAACCCAGTAACACCACCCTCCACCTGCAAAAAAGAGCCACATTTTAAAAGGGTATAGAATCAGGTCAATCAAAGGCCTGGTTAAAAAGCAACGTTTTTGCCTGGTGCCTAAAGGTGTATAATAAAGGCGCCAGGCGAACTTCCCTGGGGAGAGCATTCCAGAGATGGGGAGCCACTGCAGAGAAGGCCCCGTTCTCGTGTTGCCACCCTCCGGACCTCTTGAGGAGGAGGCACATAAAGGAGGGCCTCAGAAGATGATCTCAGGGTCTGAGTAGGTTCATATGGAAAGGGGCGGTCCTTGAGGTATCATGGTCCTGAGCCGTACTTCTCCTCCATAGACAAGGTGAAGTAATGACGAAGAAAAGGGGCTGCTAAAGCTATTGCCCTCCCAAAAAGTGGTCTGTCTGGAACAACTAGCTCTACTATTGACTTTAGCCAGGCATAGGCAAACTCAGCCCTCCAGATGTTTTGGGACTACAATTCCCATCATCCCTGACCGCTGGTCCTGTCAGCTAGGGATCATGGGAGTTGTAGTCCCAAAACATCTGGAGGGCCGAGTTTGCCTATGCCTGACTTTAGCTATGTCTTTCTGATGAAGTTCCTCGTAAGTAGTGTGATGGCTTGGTTGAGTCAGTTTTGCTATTTTTATTAACATGATGACTCGTACAACAGGTGTGTGCCAGGTAATCACTTGAACCTATAATTCAGATCAGTGGCAGGGCAGCAACCTGCAGCTCTCTGTATGTTGCTGGGCTCCCAACTACCATCAACCACAGCCAACATTGCCAAATGGTCAGGAATGATGGGAACTGGAGTCTAGCAATATCTAGAGAGCCACACAGTTTCCTTCCGAAACGAGACAGTTTTGCAAGCAAAGAGCAAGGGTTGGCAGAGAGTTATAACAGTACTGGGGAGGGCCAGGTAGCAGTGAGTTCCACCAGCTCCTCACTTTTTCCCACCTCTCCTGTAACCTTTCTCCCTCCACCATAAAATACATATTGGAAATATCAACCATCTTTAAGCAATCATGATGAGCAAACATTTATCAAGGCATTCCATCAGGCAGTCGTTTTACTTCAGCCACTTCTGAAAGTGAATTGGGGACGGGTCTGTACTTAAGTACTTAAGGCCATTCCCCTGTTCTCAAATGGGATCTATTTATGTTGTTGTTGTTTCTTACATTTGTATACCCGTAGGTCTCAGGGCGGTTACAACACGAAATCACAATACAAAATCACAAACTACATAATAAAAACAAAAACAACCCAATAACGGCCTCCACTTCCCCCACACATTTTTTAAAAGGCATTGGATGTGAATCAGCCAAAGGCCTGGTAGAGGAATGCTTTCGCCTGTCGCCTCAAGGTGTATCAATGAAGGCGCCAGGCGGACCTCCCTGGGGAGAGCATCCCACAAATGGGGAGCCACCACAGAAAAGGCCCCGTTCTCATGATGCCACCCTCCAGAACTCTTGTAGAGGCAAGCAACGTTTCATTACAGCTCTTTCAAAACTGCTTTTATGGCATTTTACGCAGTTTTCTTGAAAGGATTCTTGCCGTTTCCTTGATTTTGTTCCTAGATTCCAGTGTAGGCCAGCGGAACCAAAAGGACAATGATAGGCAGGGAAACATCCACTGTAGAGCCAAGACTTATGTGGAACATCTACTTCACCAAGGATGTGGCTCCTGGTGATTGGGTGTTTGGTTTTTCTGGGCAATAATCCAAGAGGAATTTGTTCATTTACAAGTAAGGTAAAGGTAAAGGGACCCCTGACCATTAGGTCCAGTCGTGGCCGACTCTGGGGTTGCGGCGCTCATGTCGCTGTATTGGCCGAAGGAGCCGGCGTACAGCTTCCAGGTCATGTGGCCAGCAGGCGAACCAGAGCAGCGCACGGAAACGCCATTTACCTTCCCGCCGGAGTGGTCCCTATTTTTCTACTTGCACTTTAACGTGCTTTCGGACTGCTAGGTTGGCAAGAGCAGGGACCGAACAATGGGAGCTCACCCTGTCACGGGGATTCGAACCGCCGACCTTCTGATCGGCAAGTCCTAGGCTCTGTGGTTTAGACCACAGCACCACCCACGTCCTCCACATTTACAAGTAGCTGTTTGCAAAAGCAAGCTTTGTAAACTGGAAATAACGAATGGATTCCAGATGGCATTGCACTTCCACACTGCCTTTCTTGTTTCTAAAAAAACTAAGTGGCTCATGAATGAGAAAGCCCAGGTTTTTGGTCTTACAACAAAACTTTTGAAGGATGGGGAAACTGCCCACGCTACTAGGCTTCCAGGTAAACAACGGAGCAAGTGTTCTGCTATGGTTGTCTCTACCACAGGAACAATTCAGAGGCACACCATGACTGACAGCTACACCAAGTGAGAGAACAGCATGATAAAGTGATACATTCAGGTACCTCATCCGGGCATCCGTCAGGTCTGAGCAGCCTTCCGTTATTCTTCAACAGCTCTATCAAATGGAACACAATCATCTGGTTCTGCTTATCATTCCCAATCATGCGCATGAACTCCTAAAATAAAAATTCCAAGTTGAATTTCCGTTCAGGTTAATGACATCAAAGCATCAAAGGATTACCCAGTTCATAGGAGGAACTATGCAGAAGGCGCACTAGTCTTTGTTGGATAGAATGCAATATGTCACAGAGGCAAACCTTTAAGGCCTATAGAACATCCCTCTTTCAAAAAAGTATAAAAAAGAAGAATTCTATGCCAATCTGAAGGTTTTGCAGACAGAAACTTGCTTTTATTTACTTGGAAAATTTATGGCCTGTTTTTCAACATTTGTTCCTGCAGTAGGTTAAAGCTGATTTTTAAAAACAAAACAAAACACTAGAGCAACAATAAAATACTATCAGAGTTAGTTTTAGGAGAGAGCTGGTGTTAATATATTTAGTTATAAAAGGCTTACTTGTTTAAAAGGGCCAGACTCCCAGATTTACATACACCAAACCTGGCAACTAATTCCAAATCTTGGAGCCAGCTACTGAAAAAGAGCTACTTAACAGAGGGTTGGGAAGACAAGGGAAAAGGTATTTTCTTCTGTTATTCTGGATTCAGACTGTAAAGAACTTTGCAATTTGTTGGCCTGGAGTCTGCATGTAGCGCTCAACCTCCTTCGGAATGGTTGCTCCAGCCAGAAGAGAACAAAAATGAATGGATGGATAGATGAAGATGGGGAAAAAGGATTAATGAAAAGTGTGTTTGTGTGTGGAGAGAGGAGAGGAACAGAGAGGATGGGGAAAGAGAAAGCGTGTCCCACCCATGTTGCTTTCACTCTGCTCCCCCACTGGTGGCATACTGCCCCTTACCACTTTCTGCCCCAGAAGTAAATCTCAGCACCTTGAATTTAGGCTGGAAACACATGAGCAACCACAGTGCTAGGAATCCTTGCTACAAGCTCTGCGGAAATACTCTGGCCCTGCAGACATTTCCAAAAGGTCCTTAAGGGCAGTCCCATGCGCAGCACATTGTGCTTAGAGCTTGCCTCCTCTGGTGTAGACATCCCCAGGCATTAAGATCTGCCAGGGGTGGGAGTGCCATCACCAGTGGCTTCTGCAAAGCAGCAGGGCATGGAGGGTCTTCTGCGTGGTGGCCCCCCTCGGTTGTGGAATGCCCTCCCTGCTACAAGAACACATCTCCTTGGACGGTAGAGGGTGAGATCAGAGTATTACTCCCTCTGCAGTGTTGCTGCCGGTTTTGCTTCCTGTGTGACAGGATGTAATTGACGATTCAGCTGTTATGCCACTAAGTGGCTAACTTGTTTGAGGCTGCTGGTAATCTGAGAGCGCATGAAGTGTGGGCTACAAAAGCATATAAATAACTGTAACTTCAGACGGCCCTAAAAGACAGAAACAAACATTTGCAGGGAAAACAAGACCCTGCAGTATTTTGTGCTGATCAGCAGCTTGGAGGGAGGAGATTGTGCTCCTCAGCTGACCGCAGCTCAGCAGGAGAGAAGAGGGAAAGTGAGAGATTCCTGCTGTTAAAAGTGAAAAACTTATGGGAAATGATATATAATGAGATGAAAAAGATGTTGAAATGTACATTTATTAAGAAACCAGAAGCATTTTTACTTGGCATTGTAGGAGATGAGATTAACAGACAGGACTGTAAGTTGTTTTTATATGCAATGACGGCAGCAAGAATATTATTGGCACAAAAATGGAAGCAAGAAGAATTACCAACGATAGAAAAATTGGCGGATGAAATTGATGGACTATGCAGAACTGGATAAATTAACTGGAAGGATTCAAAACCTGTGGGATCAGAGATTCTTAGAAGACTGGAGTAAATATATGAACTATTTGAAAAGTAATAGTAATGAACAGATTATGCCAGTAGGATTGCAAGAAGTTTTGTAAGGAGAATTATATGAAATATTACAAGAAAGACTATGAGGAGAATTATTAGTTGATGATAATTAAGAGTAAAAGAGAAGCAGGGAGAAACAGGAGTCCCTTTCTCAATGTGCAGCAGAGAAGCCAAGGGAAGTAGCTGTTAACTCCTAACCACTTTGACTCAACAAAATATGGCCTAGTAGGGGCAAAAGGTCCCCCACCCTCTCCTAAAGGCGATAGTCATAGCCCTAGACCAAGTATACACATGTAGGTTATATACAAACCGCTGGGGGGCTTTTGTTCTTGTCTATATATGTGAAGAGTTCATAGAGGACCACACCAAAACTCCACATATCAGAAGCCACAGAAAACTTGTTGTCCGTCAGTGATTCTGGAGCATACCTATAGCATAAGAAGCCGGGGGAGGGGGGGAGAGAGGAGAGATAGGAGACAGGAGGGGGGAAAACAACAGATCTATAAAACGAAAACAATTTAACACATTATACCCTTAACAGGTCAATTCAGTGTCCAGGGGGGCTGTCTACCAGCTCCATCTGGTACGCCAGCCTGAGACCCTACCTGCCTGCGCATTGTCTCGCTAGAGTGGTACATGCTCTGGTTATTTCCCGCTTGGACTACTGCAATGCACTCGGCGTGGGGCTACCTTTGAAAGTGACTTGGAAGTTACAACTAATCCAGAATGTGGCTGCCGAGACCATATAACTCAGGTCCTTAAAGGTCTACATTGGCTCCCAGTACGTTTCCAAGCACAATTCAAAGTGTTGGTGCTGAGCTTTAAAGCCCTAAACGGCCTCGGCTCTGTATACCCGAAGGAGCATCTTCACCTCTCTTGTTCAGCTCCAAGGGCCTTCTGGCAGTTCCCTCAATGGAAGAAGTGAAGTTACAGGGAACGAGGCAGAGGGCTTTCTCGGTAGTGGCACCTTCCCTGTGGAATGCCCTCCCATCGGATGTCAAGGAGATAAACAACTATATGACTTTTAGAAGACACATGAAGGTAGCCCTGCTAAGGAAAGTTTTTAATGTTTGATGTTTTACTATGTTTTTATATGTGTTGGAAGCTGCCCAGAGTGGCTGGGGTAATAATAATAATAATAATAATAATAATAATAATAATAATAATAATAGGTAGGTAGTCGTGTTGGTCTGCCATAGTCGAAACAAATATATATATTTTTTCTTCCAGTAGCACCTTAGAGTTTGTTACTGGTATGAGCTTTCGTGTGCATGCACACTTCTTTAGATTCACTGAAACAGCAATCACCAGACCCTTATATACAGTGAGAGGGTGGGGAGGGGTATTACTCAGAAGGGTGCTGAGCTTTAAAGCCCTAAACCGCTTTAAAGAGATGATGACGATTGGCTGATAGGTGTGGTAAACCTGTTAACGACTGTTAATGACTGCAATTGGTCTTACAGGAAAAAGCAAGGGGTGAGATGGCTAATGAAGTAAGAATCTAATGTCTCTATTCAGACCAGGTCTCTCCATGGTTTTAAGTTTGGTAATAAGTTGCAATTCAGCAACTTCTCTTTCCAGTCTATTTCTGAAATTCTTTTGTAATAAGACAGCTACTTTGAGATCTTGTATAGAATGTCCTGGGAAACTGAAGTGTTCTCCTACTGGTTTCTCTGTCTTGTGATTCCTGATGTCAGATTTATGTCCATTTATCTTTTGGCGTAGGGTTTGGCCACGCCTCTCAGCCAATCACCCATTCCCACCACCCTTCTGAGTAATACCCCTCCCCACCCTCTCACTATATATAAGGGTCTGGTGACTTCTGTTTCAGTGTATCTGAAGAAGTGTGCATGCACACGAAAGCTCATACCAAGAATAATACTCTAGATTGAGTAAGTTTTAGATGCATCGATTTATTATATTCCGAGGGCCAAATAATTTATGCAGTATTGCATTCCCCCCAAATCATTTGCCTTGTAATCAAGCAGCAGAGAGAAACATACCAAAATATGGGACTCTCTCCTGGTTCCTTGACTTTGTAGTATTCTTTGTCCTGAGGCAAAACTTTTGTCAAGCCAAAGTCTCCAATTTTAACTCTGTTTTCATTCTCCACCAAGATATTCCGTGTTGCTAGATCTCTGTGAACGTATCTTTTTGAACCCAGATACTCCATACCCTGTGCGTACACAAACGGTGTTATGAAATCAGTGTTGATGGGTTTAATAAATACTGGCGGCCGAAGAGATGATGAGACATGTACTGCCTGGCTGTCAGAATCCCGCCCCCCCCCAATGCTTATGAACATCCCGCATATCAACATAATCCTATGCTATTAGGAAACATAACAGACAGGTAGGAATAGGCAGCAGCTGTTCCTAAAGTTCACCATACCTCTACCAAACTGTGACCCAAGTACCACTAGATGTCACCATTGTGTCTGCTGCAAAGCAATTGTGCAGAACGCTGAGTTGACCAGCAGCGTTCTTGACCTTGCTGCATACAGCACTGACATTATAGACACACAGCTATCGTTCTGACCCTGAGAATAACCTCATCCATTTCACTGATGCTTAGTCCTAGAAATTCTAAGTCTTCTCTCTCAGAACCAAACATTTATTTTACGTGTGTGTCTTTACACGATTCTCCTGTTTTCCATCCCACATTCATTTCTGCAAATTTTGCCTCGTGCATTGGACGAAACGTGGCCAAGAAATGCCCTGTGGGCCAGCAAAGGCTTGTTTATGTGACGGCTAAGCAGGCGAAATGGGAACTCTGGAGCACAACATGACAACATCTGCAGCATAAATCTGCTGTCACCTCTATGCTGTTTGCTGCCTGGCATGAGCGAGTGGAAGAGAAGAGGCAACAGTTGTGTTTTCAATTATCTCCAAGTTTCCTCCAACTTTATGGTTCTATGACCCTGCACTGTACTGGGAAGAAGAACTGCACACAATCTGCCTGAGTGTTTATAGAGTTTGCGGCAAACAGCTCTGGTTCTCACACCACTTGCTCCCAGAGCAGACTTCAGTAGAGTTCGAGATACCAGTAAAACGTATTACCTTACATATCTGAGAGGCATAATGCAGGAGTTTCTTATGATCCAACCTGTCTTTGTGCTTCTGGAGATAGTCTCGTAAACTCCCATGGGGCAAGTACTCCATTATCAATTTCAGATTTCTCCGGCCTTCCCAAACACGTGACAAAAGAAAAAAAAAAGATTCAAAATTATGCTTTACAGAGCTTCCTTCATATAGCACATTATAAGCAAAAGGCACAGACCATCTGCAGCATATATGCAGTGGAAGATTCCATTATGGTATTCTTTTGCCAAAAATCAAATTTAGCTAAGCTTGCTGTTTTCCAACTGCGTAGAAAGAAACTCTGAAGATCGTGAAACAGCTAGTTACACGCGGAAGATGTGTTTGATGAGTAGTAAGCAGAGTTACATGCTGCTACTTTAACACGGGCAACACTAAAAGATAAAGTTCAAAACAATGACAGCCCAAAATGGGCTACCCTGGCAAATGCATTTCTGGAATGAAATGAAGTTGTGTAGCAAGGTTGACAGTGCCCGGGGCTGCATGGAGTGAGAGGAAGTGAAATGGAAGGAGTACACATGCGCATTCAACTGCCTAAAAGTGTCCCTGTCACCCAGGAGATTGCAGTCACAGAGATTAAAAAAGAAGAGTTGTTCCATTGTTTGGAGAGGTCACTTCCTGGTTCGCACGGAGAACATGTTTTCAACGGAGCCCAGCGAACGGGAGCGCACAGCTGTATTGAAGCAGCAGGCTGGGAGGCTGGCGCCGCAGCAATTTAGGCTGCTGTACACGCCCCCTCGAAGGCACCTGGTTGGGTGCCTTACAGTGGCTTCGCCACATCACATAGATTTAAAGCCCTATGATATTGACTTTAACCATTCAATGGGCTCTCCCAAAGGATCTGGAGCTGTATCTCGTTAAGGATGCTGCAAGTTTTAAGGAGGGCCCCCTATTTCCCCCTTCACAGAAGCTACGATTTCCAGAATTCCACAAGTGAAGAGGGATTTGACGGTTAACCATGACAGGGAAAGTGCAGCCCAGGAAAGGGAGTTGTTGCTGTACGTGCACAGCACAGCTAAGCAGACAAATGCTGGACTAAACTAAAGGGCTTAACGAAGAAGGATGCAATGACATTTCATGAAACCAACATCTCGTTAAGTTGATGTTTGGAAAAATCGTTCCAAGTATATTGCTAATAATTGCAGAGAATCTTGACAGTGCATGTGGTTGCTCTTTAAAATGTGAACAGGAAGGTCACACTCTAATTTTAAGGGGCGACTGTTCGGACATCTGTACGCGACGCCGATTCTACGCATAATCGGGGAACATCTGAATAGTTATCAAGGGATTGCTTAGCTTTTGCTTAACAAATAACGAATTAGAAAGCGCATGTTACCAGCACTGTAGCACACGCCTTGTACTTCACAATGTTGTCATGTTGCAGAGATTTAAGAATTTCGATTTCTCTTTCGAAGTCCCGCAGGTGTTCTTCCGTGCTGTGCTGCAGCTTTTTAACAGCCACCACTTCCCCTGTGTCGTCCTGTAGTGGGTCATACCGGCACATCTCCACACTGCCAAAATTCCCCTGCAAGGAATATGAATAGAAACATTTATATATCAAGCCCAGGGGCATGGCGGGGCAGGGGAGGAACCCTGCACTATTGTTTTGACAGCTGATATATTTATTTTTATTTTATTTTAATTTTTTTGATATATTTATTTATTTTTTATTTATGAGACTCTTGAGAGTCCCATGGACTGCAAGAAGAACAAACCTCTCCTTTCTTAAGGAAATCAGCCCTGAGTGCTCACTGGAAGGACAGATCCTGAAGCTGAGACTCCAATACTTTGGCCACCTCATGAGAAGAGAAGACTCCCTGGAAAAGACCCTGATGTTGGGAAAGATGGAGAGCACAAGGGGAAGGGGACGACAGAGGACGAGATGGTTGGACAGTGTTCTCGAAGCTACCAACACGAGTTTGACCAAACTGCGGGAGGCAGGAGTGCCTGGTGTGCTCTGGTCCATGGGGTCACGAAGAGTCGGACACAACTAAACGACTAAACAACAACATATTTATTTTTAGGAGCCACCCAACTCATCCTATAGTTGTAAGCTGCCCTGGGACTTGATGGGCAACAAAATCCTAGAATTGAAAGAAAATACGATGGGTTGTTTCCCCAGTGCCACACAGTACAATTCGTGCCTGCATAATGAGTGATCTAGCTGGTGACACAGCCAGGAATGGGATCCCACCAATGACTCAATAAATGTCCTGTTTTCGCCACCAACTTGGGACTTTGGTAACACTCCAAGTCTAAGATTATTAAGAGTGCACAAAAACATAGTTCTTAAATATTTAAGAACGATGTAAAACTTTATTGTACAAATAATTCCATATTAGCAGAAATTGAGTGATATTTGTAAAGAAAACGATTAGAGGAATATATACAAAGCAGAAAAGAAATGATATTATACAGTACAAATCTGTGTTAAAAAAGAATTATATTACAGTATAATGAGAAGGATGGGAAGGATTGTGTCGATGAATCACTTTTATTGTGCAAATAATGTTGTCTTGTCTTTTGATTTTTTAATTTCGTATCTTTGTTGTTGTTTCCCCCTTTCTTTTCCTCTTTTTTATTCCTTTATAAATTTTCTATTTTCTACCTAATTTTCTTCTTCTTCATATGTAAAGAGATAGCATAGAATGTTTGTATAGATATGTAAATTTTTAATCAATAAAGAATAATATTTAAAAAAAGACTGCACAAAAACAGTTCAACAACAACATCTCCTGAAGATGACGGAGGACAAGTAAATTTCACCCATATGACTTCAGGGGCAGCCTCAATATATATTTAAATAAAGGGAAGCAGAATTGCACATTTAAGAAGAGGGACAGGAAAGGAACAGGCACTGCCAAGACCTAAAAGCACCCGAAAGCTGCATGAGCCAAAGGAAAAATATTCCTGCACTTGCGTTATGTTTTGACCGCTCAGGGCTGTGAAGTAAACAGATCTGAAGATGTGATGTACAAGCAACAACACCCCCCCAAAAGGCTCAGGGATAAAGGAGACAGGTTGAATACAAAGGAAGCCCCTAAATTCCCTGCTCTCTTCACATCCAGTGATTTACTGCAAAGAAGAGTTTGGATTTGATATCCCGCTTTATCACTACCCGAAGGAGTCTCAAAGCGGCTAACATTCTCCTTTCCCTTCCTCCCCCACAACAAACACTCTGTGAGGTGAGTGGGGCTGAGAGACTTCAGAGAAGTGTGACTGGCCCAAGGTCACCCAGCAGCTGCATGTGGAGGAGCGGGGACGCAAACCCAGTTCACCTGATTACAAGTCTACAGCTCTTAACCACTACATCACGCTGGCTCGCAAAGGGAGAAAGGTGACAAAGAGGGAAGCAGCAAAAGGAGGGGGAAATAGGAAGGGGTTCAAGGGAGAAAACCTGAAGGTAAACCAAAAAAAGAGCTGGTTTAAAGTTAAGAGGAAAGATTAAAATTTAGGGACAAAGGAGGTATGGTGTGCACAATAGAGGCTGCCACCATATCTTGTCATTCTTTGTCTTAAAGAAGAATGCAAGCCTTCTGATAAAAGGGAGGCGAATATCTTGGGGTGGAGGTATAAATTCCATACTGCTGTTAGGACTCAGCTACATTAGTCAAAAAAACAGTGTTTTGAATGCATTATAAGCATGCAACACCAGATGGCGCCAGAGAACAGGAAATATTTATATCTGATTTTCTGTAGGGTTCTTTTTCTTTTGTTATAACAATCTAATTTCTGACTTATTTAGAGCGCCCCCCCATGTGTAGATCCATCCTTAGAAGAGGAACAGAGTAGGATATTTCTGAACAATCGCCCTCCCCTCAAAAGCTGCACAGATAGGGAGCAGAACAAAAAACAGTTGCTCTTTCAAAAAGCTGAAACCACTCCGAAAAAAATACATATTAAAGGGCAGTCTCTGCTTCTGTTAAAATAGGTAAAGGGTAAAGGGAGCCCTGACCATTAGGTCCAGTCGTGGCCGACTCTGGGGTTACGGCGCTCATCTCGCTTTATTGGCCAAGGGAGCCGGCGTACAGCTTCCGGGTCATGTGGCCAGCATGACTAAGCCGCTTCTGGAGAACCAGAGCAGCGCACGGAAACGCTGTTTACCTTCCCACCAGAGTGGTACCTATTTATCTACTTGCACTTTGACGTGCTTTCAAACTGGCAGGAGCAGGGATCGAGCAACGGGAGCTCACCCTGTCGCGGGGATTCGAACCGCCGACCTTCTGATCGGCAAGTCCTAGGCTCTGTGATTTAACCCACAGCGCCACCCGCGTCCCTCTGTTAAAACAAGCACTTCCAAAAATACTATGCAAAGTATGCGAATTATTTCAAATTAGCCATGGTTTCCCACTCTATATCTTATTTGTTTCTAACGGTATCGCATATCCTTGCAATAAGATACCCCATCTTCTTACCTTGCCAAGTTGCTGCAAAAATTTCAGGTGCCGCTCTTCAAAATAAGTCGGATCCCTGCCTTCGAAAGCCCCGGAAAACCCAAGAGCTCCAATTCTCATATTTGGTAACATATCACTTTCTTTCAATAGTTCGTAATCTTGAAGAAAACACACACACACAAAATAAAATATTATGTTCAGCTAGGCTCCCCTACACCATCTGAACAGAAACAGATCATCATCAGCAGACAAATTAACTTGTGCATCCCTAGAAAATATGAACATGCTATCTTAATTTTCAATCATAAAATACTGTCCTGCGTGGGAAGATAATAGTAAAGGTAAAGGTACCCCTGACCAGACGACTCTGGGGTTGCACGCTCATTTTGCTCTATAGGCCGAGGGAGCCGGTGTTTGTCCATAGACAGCTTCCGGGTCATGTGGCCAGCATGACTAAGCCGCTTCTGGCAAAACCAGAGCAGTGCACGGAAACGCCGTTTACCTTCCCACCAGAGCGGTACCTATTTATCTACTTGCACTTTGACGTGCTTTCGAACTGCTAGGTGGGCAGGAGCAGGGACCAAGCAGCGGGAGCTCACCCTGTTACGGGGATTCGAACCACTGACCTTCTGATCGGCAAGCCCAAGAGGCTCAGTGGTTTAGACCACAGTGCCTCCCACATCCCATGGGAAGATAATAGAAGCAGCCTAATCCCTATTGCATTTCAAAACTTCCCACTCATGGTTCATTTGCTCATTAACTCTACAAGCGCAAACAAATTTTGATACAAGAAGAAAAGTTATGTGTGCAACTCAAATATATCTGCAGACAGACATGTTCTATAGCAGTGGTGTGGAATCTCCTGCCTACAGGTCTAATTAACCCCACTAAGCCAGAAATTGGCCCATCCAATCATTGGTCAACTATGCTCACCTTTCCCAATCCTCTGATATCATACAACATCAGAGGTGGGGAAGTTCAAGCTGGAAAAAAACCAAAGCTGTGTAATGTGCAAAAAGGCCCTGATTGGTTTAACACAACTTTTAATTACCGTATTTTTCGCCCTATAGGACGCACCGGCCCATAGGACGCACCTAGCTCTTTGGGGGGGAAATCAAGGAAAAAATTTTTATTTCCCCCCCAGGTTTGCGCAGCCATCCACAAGCTCCGTCTCCCTCTTCTGCCTTCAGGGACAGCCTCTCTAGCCTCCGTGGGGCAGTGGCTTGCCCCGCTGTCCCCCGAGCTTATGGGGCTGGCGATGGGGAGAAGCAAGCTTGCTTCTCCCCCCCGCCAGCCTTCAGATCAGGTCGGGGAATAGCGGGGTGGCGGCGCTCCGCCTCCTCACTATCCCCCGAGCTTGTGGGGCTGGCGCGGGGGGGGAGCAAGCTTGCTTCTCCCCCCCCCGCCAGCCTTCAGATCAGGTCGGGGAATAGCGGGGTGGCGGCGCTCCGCCTCCCCACTATCCCCCGAGCTTGTGGGCTGCAGGCTGCTGCCCGCAAACTTTGCGAGCCGGCGGGACCTCCCGCGGGCTTGCAAGGCTTGCGGATAGCTTCCTGAAGCCTGGAGAGCGAGAGGGGTCGGTGCGCACCGACCCCTCTCGCTCTCCAGGCTTCAGGGAAAGCCTGCATTCGCCCCATAGGACGCACACACATTTCCCCTTCATTTTTGGAGGGGAAAAAGTGCGTCCTATAGGGCGAAAAATACGGTATTATTTTTTTAAGTACTATGGATCTACAGCCTTGCATTGTCCCTTCCCCAACACACACAAGTTTGTGTTGGGGAAGAATATTTATTAATAGGCTTCACTTGCTGTACGGCAATATTAAGAGAGATTTATCCATGAAGTAAAGTGTTTCAGATAAATAATACATTACATTCATGTAGTTCTTTACAGAGCTCATAGTGCTTTCACATACATCAACTCTATAAAGTGAGCCCAGTGTTGATATTCCCATATTGCAGATGGGCGGTGAAGCTTGACAGGGCTCGTGACAGATTAAGGAGCTGAAGCAGGGATTTCTCGATCCATCATTCTGCCCGGACACTGAGGTCCAGCTCTGAGGTCCTTCTGGCGGATCCCTTACTGCAAGAAGTGAGGTTACAGGGAACCAGGCAGAGGGCCCTCTTGGTGGTGGTGCCTGCCCTGTGGAATGCGCTCCCACCAGATGTCAAGGAAATAAACAACTATCTGACTTTTAGAAGACATTTGAAGGCAACCCTGTTTAGAGAAATTTTTAATGTTTGATGTTTTATCGTGTTTTTAATATTCTGTTGGGAACCGCCCAGAGTGGACGGGGTATGTATGTATGTACGAATAAATAAATATTATTACTGTATCATCATCATCATCATTTCTCAATCCATAGCTTAGGCTCTTAGCCACTAGGCCACACCAGGTCTTATGAACACATTTGGAACAACATCCTTCTCCCCTGCAACAGTTTGCCTATGCCAGTGATGGCCAGACTTGGCCCTCCAGCTGTTTTGGGACTACAACTCCCATCATCCCTAGCTAACAGGACCAGTGGTCAGGGATGATGGGAACTGTAGTCCCAAAACAGCTGGAGGGCCAAGCTTGGCCATCACTGGCCTATGCAGTAGATTCTACTCTAACTGCAGATCAGAAAACATATTGCGTCTCCCACCAAAATTTAGTTACCTCTTCTCCATTAACATACCTGGAGCGAACAAACTGTTAAGGTCACGTATAACCGCTCTAAAAGAGGGTCTGAAGTCTGGCTCATAATCCATGCAGTTGTTTATAAGGTTTGCTAGTTCTGTCCAATTAGGAGCAGGAAGTTGATGCCTATCCTCATAAAACTGTAATTTCTAGAATTCAAGAAATGACGGTGATTTAGGACAATTCTGAGTAGCTTTTTTTGGGGGGGGGGAGAAAAGAGATACTTTCAACAGCAAAGGCGATTCTTTTACACGTCCAAGCAAACATCAAATACAACACTTCTTTGTCTCTGACACAAACAACTTCGGTTTAAGAGATGGAGAGGTTCCCTCGTACACACAAATCGTGTCCACATGCTGCTTTTCAAACCATACCATAAAATACAGGGTTTCACTATCAGGGGACATGTTGCACCTGCCACACGGTGCGTATCCTTTGTGCCATGTGACTTTAAATCACAGCGTGTCTGAATCGCTCCCAGGAACATGGGAGCATGACAGATTTCGCCATAGAGGCCCCAATCTACTTGGGACAAACTCCACACTTACTCTCTGTTTCCCAGAAGAGAAAGAGGCGCACAAGGAGATTACCAAAAACTAATTACAGGCTTTATCCAATCGTTGCTTCTGGGGAAAGACTATTGTTTACAAGTTCCCCTGTAGTTTAAATAAACCTGCCTAGCAGGCTAAGGAATCTTTACTACCATATTTTTCGTCCCATAGGACGCACCGGCCCATAGGACACACCAAGTTTTTTTGGGAGGAAATAAAGGGGGAAAATTTATTTCCCCCCCCCAGGCGCTTGCGGGGCTGGCAGCGAGGAGAAGAGCTCTTCTCCCCACCGCCCGCCTTCAGACCAGGTCCGGGGACAGCGGGTAGCGCGTCTTCCCGCTGTCCCCAGAACTTGCGGGGCAGGCAGCGGGGAGAAGCACGCGTCTCCCCGCCGTCAGCCTCCAAACCACATCAGGAGACAGCGGGATGGCGGCATTCTGCCTCCCCGCTGTCCCCCGACCTTGTGGGGCTGGCGCTGGGGCTCTCCTGAAGCCTGGAGAGCAAGAGGGGTCGGTGCGCACCGATCCCTCTCGCTCTCCAGGCTTCAGCGAAAGCCTGCATTCGCCCCATAGGACGCACACACATTTCCCCTTCATTTTTGGAGGGGGAAAAGTGTGTCCTATAGGGTGAAAAATACGGTAAACGTTAAACCCGATGAGGGGCAGAATCACATGTGGAAGCTGTGTCCAAATACTTTAACCGTGGCTTATGCCCATCGCTGCACAGTATGTTCACCAAGACAAAGATGTTCCACTTCACATGGTACTTACTCTTTGAGAATCCAGCAAACTGAGAGGCTTGTCTCCTCCGCTGCAGATTTCCCACAGAGTGGTTCCAAAACTCCACTTGTCCGCTGCCAAACTCAGCTGCTTTGGATTTTCGATACATTCAGGTGGAACCCATGGTATTCTCTCAAGGAGAACTAGGCAATCGTGAAAAAACAAGGCAATTTGTTACTAGGATGAATCAGAAAGCATTTGATTTATTTGCTTTTTTTGGCAGGATGTTTAAATTGCTGCTCAGCTGTATTAGGTAATCTCTGAGGACCTCTGGTGCAAATGTGGTCTATAAATATCTTTAGGGCTTGTAAATGACAATAAAAAAGCAAACAAACTTGAAGCTCCATGTCTGCGGCCTTTAAGAAATATTTTAGAAATTCTCACATGTGGACTTAAGCATAGGAGGCATGAGCTAAAGGGTGTAAACACAGTGAGAGCTTTTGATTCTCTTGAGTCCTTCAGATAAAAATCCTAATCCCAAGGAATTCAATTTGTAAGGAAATAGAGAAAGGGTATCTCACGTTACTCTTCAGGTGAGACAAAAATGCTTTAAATCCAACAAATGGATCAGTTTGTGTGGTGTCTTCCAGGTGGACTCATCCTGCTGGCTGGGTCTAATGGGAACTGGAGCTCAGCATCATATAAAATACATTGCACTGGCTACTCCTGAACCAGATTTACCTTTTTCAGAGTGTTAAATGGGGATTCTCAGTGGGTGAAAGACTAACATTGGCTACAACTCTTTAAGAACTGAAACTGATGGGTCTGTTCTGCTGGGTTTTCCATTTCCAGCAGTATTTTTGTTAAGTTGTGGGTGAACATATCAGACGACACAGCGATTCTTCAAACAGCTCTTGTTTATTCACAGGCCAGAACAGAACTGAACTGAAGGGTTCAGTCAGCCTGCTTATATAGAGCTCCAGTACAACGTAACTGTAACAATTTTCTAAAACTATCCAATCACTGAATGTCACTTTCGATCCCTTATTTGCATAACTATCTACAGTATCCCCCTGCTGGCCCAGGGTGAGAACTTCAATACATAACAATTTTCAGACCAGTTTCAATGGAATACGCATTGCTCATTTTGTACAACAGGCATGCCTGCTGGCATGGAAATAGTTTTAAGTAGCAAAATGATGCCGGCAACAGAAAAAAAACAAAATCACGCCCCAAGCTTGTGGGAGGTTCATGGCTTCCCAAACAAGAACAGCGGTACACAACAAAATGAATTTTAAGTGCAAATGAGAGGAGGAGATAATCACTCAACGACATTTTCAAGGTAGCAGGTGAGCTGCTGAAAGGGATGAGTCAGAGACTTACTGTCTTTTGGCAAAACTGTAATGCTGATACCAGGATCACTGAGCTTGATAAAAGGAAGGTTCCCAGATTTTCTATCTTCTTCTCTGATAAGCAAGATGTTTTTTGCACATACGTTCCCATGAACAAGGTTTTTATCTTCCTGATAAAGGACAAACAAGCATTGCTTATTCTTCCTCCTGAGCACAGATCAACCGCCAACTTCCTAACTGCGTTTCAAGCTGACACGTTTTGACATAAGCAAACACTTCGAGAAATGGACGTAAGAAGGAACTGGGACGCAGCTTTAAATGGCTAATTTACACAGTACAGTGCCTGGCTTGAATTTAGTGGCAGCAGTCCAGCACCTCATTAAATGCAGTGAAGAGGAGCATGGCAAACTTCACCACAGAGGCCCTAATCTATCTGGGACAAACTCCACACTTACTCCCTGTTTCCCAGAAGAGAAAGAAGAGCAGAAGGAGATTACCAAAAACTAATTACAGGCTTTATCCAGTCGTTGCTTCTGGGGAAAGACTATTGCTTACACAAGTCTGCTTTACTCCTGCTCCCCCCCCCCCGATAAAGCAGAAGTTTCCTGCATTTGTTTAACAGCACAACTCAGATCATAGTCTTATCACACATAAGACACCAGATTTTTAAAGGAGTGAGCGTGAAAACAAGACGTGTGTGCAAGCTGTCTGGATCCTACAAAGAGAAACACCAATGAATATGTCTAAAAATCTTAACCAATATCTACTAGGGGTAGGGGGAGTGAATCCCTGACCTTCGGCATTTTGCTAGCGGGAAATGTAAGATACTTACGAAAAAATGCATTGCCATTGCCAGCTGCTTTGCAACTTCCAGCTTCCACAAGATGTTTATAGAATTTTTATTCTTCTTCAAATAAGTATCCAATGACCCAAATTTCACATATTCCTGTACCAGAATATCTAATTTGAAACACAGATGCAGACAATAAATAATAATAATAATAATAATAATAATAATAATAATAATAAACGGAATTTTAAGCCAGCCTTGCTTTCTAGCCACAATTCCTTCCAACCACATTTGAAAACATCTGTTTCATCCCTGCAGACTGGTGCGTACTGCAAATTATGGAACTGAAACTCTTTGTTTCCTCAGCAAAATTAATGCTAAGCCATTCTTGGGACTCAGAGATTGTAGAAATGTTTTCTAGTTTACACCCCAATCACAAATCATTTAAACGTCAACACAACTTTGTTCAGATATACAGAGAATGCAACCACGAAATAGCAACACACCATGAAGTGAAAGGTAAGATTCTGATGTAAAACTTTTAATTACATACTGTCAATGTATTAAATGCGTACTAGCTATAGTTTCTATCATTTCTTTTCAACAACTGTTTGGTTTATTAAGTTTTGGGTTGTTTTTTTAATGGAAAGATCTATACAGTGGTACCTTGTTTTGAGTCTGGGATCCATTTCGGAGCCCTGGACGCTCGACGAAAGGGATGCTTGACAGGGCAGCGCTCTGCGCACGTGCGCAGGGCAGTTTACGCTTCTGTGCATGCGCGAGCAGCAAACCCAGAAGTAACCCATTCTGGTACTTCCGGGTTTGCTGTGGATGTTCTCTGAAACGGATGCTAGACAAGGCGGACCTTTGTGGAGGTATTACTGTACCAGACATGTTCAACCAGTCGACCGTGATGTACAGTTAGACCGATGGGGTGCTCCAGGTAGATCACCGGGGTGGTCCCGATTGATTGCGGGGGGGGGGGGGGATTAACTGGGCAATGAATGTCGCTGCCCCCTGCCCCTGGCGCAAGGTGCCATCGCTGTGAAAGCTTGTCTTCCCTGTGGCGCGGCAGATTAAGTGGCGCAACAGATTAAGTTAGAGAACCAAGGCACCACTGTACAGCCTGGAACAAACTGATTACATCAACCTAGGGCATTTGTATCTCTCATTGTTTTGCACCAACACTTGTAGTTCCTTGCTAGACAACATGTACCCGATAAGAAGGCAAATGTGTTCGGAAATAGCTATTTGCATACAGGGAGGTAATAACAGAACTCCAATTAGTGCACACAAAACCGTTAATTGGCTTTACTCACTTTCTTCTCCGTAGACACAAACTCCATAATTTAATACCAAGTGCTTGTAGGATAGCTGGCTCATCATGCTTGCTGCTTCGAAAAAAGACTGCAAGAGATAGGGAACAATAATTAGCAGAGCGAACCCTAATGGGAACTGTTTGGAATAAAACTTAATTAAAAACCGCCTGCACTTTCACATAACTTCAGCTCCCCACCTTCCACAACGATATGGTATAATTAATTTGGGGCTGTTGTTCTCTGAAGCCTGTTTTTAATCATTGTTCCTCACAACGCCTAACTGCTTTAATAGTGAATCATGTCAATTTACTGGCAGCAGGAAAATCCCCCATGAGGATACAAGGACTCTGACATCTGCCCACAGCGGGGGGTGATGATGGCGCTAGTTTTCAATGCATGTAACAATGCATGACAGCTCCAACCGATGAGTAACTGGCAAGCGTTTAATTTTCGAAAGACTAAACTCAGGGGGAACTTCTATCAGCTACGTCGTTCAATCAGATTGAGCAGGCTTGACCTCACATTACACAGAGACACTGTGAAAATGTCCATGTTTATCTCATGAACATCTGATTGTGTGAAACAGCAATCATCCCAGACAGGGCCGGATTTAGGTTTGATGAGGCCCTAAGCTACTGAAGGTAATGGGGCCCTTTATATGTCCAGCTGTCCTTTGTCAACAACAAATTGTCCCTTTTTTGTGTTGAATACAGTGGTACCTCGGGTTACATACGCTTCAGGTTACAGACTCCGCTAACCCAGAAATAGTACCTCAGGTTAAGAACTTTGCTTCAGGATGAGAACAGAAATTGTGTGGCGGCGGCGTGGCAGCAGCGGCAGGCCCCATTAGCTAAAGTGGTGCTTCAGGTTAAGAACAGACCTCCAGAACAAATTAAGTACGTAACCAGAGGTACCACTGTATATACTATATGGTAACTTATGGACCTTATAGGTTGAGAAAGGCTGCTCTAGGGGACATAGATGTTCTGCAAGGTGGTTTTCATGCCATACACCGCCCTGGGATCTTCTGGTAAAGGGCTGTATATAAACTAAATTCATCATCATCATCATCTTAAAAATTAAAGCTGAGATCCCACACTTGCTGAACTCCGCATTCCTGCTCTGCTGAGCTAGCTCTGCATATGAACTATTAAGCATATTACCCACGGAGTAGGAATACAAACCTCAGAATAATTCCTGTGCACTTTATCCAGGACTTTGAGCAGCACTTCAGTCTGATACAACTTGCCATAGTCGCCCACTTCTTTCCTCACACCTTTGAAAATTTTAGTGAAGGTGCCCTGGCCAAGGCTTTCGTTCTAAAAAAACCCCAAATAAATAAGGGGGGGGGGAGTCAATCGTCTGCAAAACCCCTTCAAGCCGATTTTAAACAAAAGCCTATCTAGTTTCAAGACTATTAGAGGAGCTGTCTCAGCTGAAAGGAAACAATCATAACGTAAAAACAGTTTAGCTTAATAAATGAACAGGTTCAAATGCTTCATTTAATTGCATATTCCGCAAGAGAGGCTTTGAGACCAACCCTTTGTGGGTTCACCCAAATGGAAGCACAACTGAGTTCAGAGAAATAATTTCCATTTGACTGCACAAACTTGCTTTGAAGCTATTCACCATTTGCCCTGCAAGCAACCACCTTGAACGGTGTTGCTGGAATGCAAAAAATGACTTCTCTGAGGGTGAGTGGATAGACTAGGGGGCTTCTCATTTTTCCTCCTGGGGAGAGAGCCCCATGTGATCCTACATGAAGTCATGGGGGGGAGGTTACACCAAGGGAGGTTCTTTTGCTGTTAGACAAGGAAAATTATGTTACTTGCGAGTTTCTCTAATTGCGTTGGCAGCCAGGAAATCAACAGCCAGATTTGTGGCTGAATTCCAAATGTCCTTTTAAATCTTTGCTATGGTTTACAACATGGGACGCGGGTGGCGCTGTGGGTTAAACCACAGAGCCTAGGGCTTGCTGATCTGAAGGTCGGCGGTTCGAATCCCCGCGATGGGGTGAGCTCCCGTTGCTCGGTCCCTGCTCCTGCCAACCCAGCAGTTCGAAAGCACGTCAAAGTGCAAGTAGATAAATAGGTACCGTTCCGGCGGGAAGGTAAACAGCGTTTCCGTGCGCTGCTCTGGTTTGCCAGAAGCGGCTTAGTCATGCTGGCCACATGACCTGGAAGCTGTACGCCGGCTCCCTCGGCCAATAAAGCGAGATGAGCGTCGCAACCCCAGAGTCGGCCATGACTGGACCTAATGGTCAGGGGTCCCTTTACCTTTATGGTTTACAACAGGGCTGGGAGATATCTTGTTTTCAACATCGTGAAATATCACCAGCCCAAAAATGTGATATACAAATAGATCACAATGTCTAAAATTAAGGATGGAGCTATGTAGAAACAATGGCTGGCTTCACGGTTTTCCCCGCATTGTGATTTTTGCCAGCGCCTGCTCTCGTGATTCGCTGCCGCCCTACATGAAGCAGGGGAGAGCTGTGCTGGCAGAATTAACAGTGGCTGCAGGAATTGAGAGAAGCCTTGACTGGCTTCACAGTTTTCCCCACATTGCAATTTTTGCACAGCCCACACAGACACACACCATGATTCGTGTGATATATTGCCAGGTCAAAAACTATGAAACCGATATCACAATATGGACCTCAAACTGGTTTTGGACAGTATATCGAATATCGATATATCACCCAGCCTCAGTTTACAGCTAAAGAAATAAAATTGTTGCTGCTGCTACTACTACATGGGGTAGTAACTTCCATTTAATTCAAGGGGACTTGAATTTCAGAGGAAAGTGGCCTAGGGTGAAGTTGCCACACAAACATCTCTCTGATATATGCTGGCTGTCTCTCTGCCTCTCCCCTTCCTGGCTGATGCATGCACTATTATTGGTGAAGAGGCTTCAGGAGTGCAATACTCTATAAAGTTAAAAGCCACAAAACTAAATTGGTTAATTTGCTTGAGAACGGACGGTAGGAAGGCTGGAAGGGCTACTGAAAAGAAAATATGATGATTAGGACATCATTCAGTTTAAACTCCCACATTTATCTTAATAATAAAAGTATGAACCCACATTAAAAAGAAAAACCACACATGCTGATTTTCAATTAATTTAGTCACACAGCAAATGAATTGCAAGTGAACACTTCCACTTCCAGATGCACTTATCACAATAAATACCTCGTTTTCTGTAAATACAATTTCCCACCAATGTGCACATTATTTCCAGTAACACACACACTGAAAACAACTCTAGTGCCTTTAAATTAATGGGACTTAATTCAAAGGACTGCGCTGAGGATCAGAGTATTACACAAGCGAGAAGATACGTCTCGTGAACTTACAAAGATCAGGTCCTCATTCCGGATTTTGTGGAAGACCATCTGGTTAACGTTATTATGCCTCTGCAAGGTGGGCGATGAGGGCAAGTCAGAAATTCCATTGCTCCTGAAGACAAGGAGGTTGGACTTGTCTGTAAGGAGAAGGTTAACAGAGTCCTGGTTCACATACATACAGACTTAATTTCATTTTATTTATTATATTTATATTCCACCTCATCCTCCTGGGAGCTCATGGTTTTCCCCTCCCCATTTTTGACCTCACAACAACCCAGTGATGCAGGTTAGGCTGAAAGACAGTGATTGGTCAAAGGTCACCTGGTGAGCTTCATGGCTGAGTATTTGAACCCTGGTCTCTCAGACTGAAGTCTTGCTGACTTGCAGCTGAACATGTACCGGTAGCTTGGCCAATGTGCCAGCAGTTTTACTGCTGCGCCACCAGGGGGATATAGTACAGGAGACTGTAACCCTATTTCCTCATACCATTCAAGCAGTATTGTTGTTCCACTTCTGGCCACAAAACCGAACTTTTTTTTTTTAATTGCTCCCTCCACAGACCCAATCCAAATGTTATTAAACAATCCTGCCTCATCTGCATTAGCCATGGTTGCACGGAGCATGGCTTACACCAGGGATGGGGAACATTTGCCCCTCCAGATGTGGTCCGATTTCCATCAGTCCTAGCCAGAATGGGATACAGAGTTCTAGTCTCAACAACATCTGCAGAGCCACAGGTTCCCTACCCCTAACACAGCGGTTCTCAACCTGTGGGTCGCCAGATGTTGTTGGACTACAACTCCCATCATCCCTGAGCTCTGGCCTTGCTAGCTAAGGGTGATGGGAGTTGTAGTTCAACAACATCTGGGGACCCACAGGTTGAGAAAGGCCTAACACCACTCCAGCTACAAGCAGAATCCTATACTTGGCAAGAGGGCAGCTTCCCACATCTGTAGTTTGTTTTGCACCCTGCTTTCTTTCCCCTTTCCTCAAACCCATGTCAGTCACCGCAGCTCCTTTGTGTCAGAAAAGGCCCTCTGCAGAATGCTACAAAAGGGGATCGGAGGAAGACTGCGGCCGTGCTTAACCACAGCGGAGAGGGATCTCAGTGCTGGTTGCTACTTCTTAACGATTACGAGAGCCTCAGCTGCACCAGAATTTGGCCCCAGAGCCAGGAGTGGCTCTGAAACACCTAGCCCTCAGCCCTATGAGTGTCTGTACTTCTACAGTACCTTAGCTATCAGGCCATTTATTAAAACCAACCAGATTATAGAATGAATGAATGAATGAAATTAATAAATGGCCTAAAAGAAAAGGAAGTGTTTAAGTCAACACTCTCCTACCACCACCACCGTGGGCCACAAATCCCTGTTGCTTTTATTACTCATGCCACGTTTTGGAGCTTGAGTGTGTATTGGTTATTGCGTCAAGTAGATTCCATATTGTATATGACACTGTCCGTCATAGAAATATATAATATACTGAATGCTACCTATAATCCACATAGATAAAATTGATTAATCAAGCCACTCTATTAAACTGAGAACCTGCTTTCGAAAAGTCTGACTCCAGTTCTCTGACTTTATTGCTTTCATTGCAGAGTTTTTCTCATTTCAAACCCTCCCCCCCCCCCCGGTGCAATGTATTCATGTTTTTGCAAGTCGCTCTGGTCAGATTTTATTACAGAAAAGCAAGGTCTAAAACCAAAAAACATTAACACCACCGCTTAAGGGAGTTGTGAATCATTTACCTTTTGGCTTTGGAGGGCAACATCTGGTAAACTGAAAAATTATACTGTCTGACCGGACAGTTTCTGTCCGATAACAGTTCAAGAGATCCATGAGGTTTGTAAAACTTCTTCTAGTTCCAGTGAGATTATATTCGCCATTCTCATTTTTTGTGATCAAGCAATGCTTATAGTCCGTGGTACTGTCCCGCTGAAGATTAAGAAATGGTAAGAAAGACGTTGTTTCGAAACAGCTCTTTTGTTTATAATTGAATTTAAATTAGGAATCATACCTTTGTAGACAAAATGGCGTCATCCATGCATGAGAGGAAGACAGCAGCATAGCAGGCTCAGAGAAACCCCCAAAACTTATAGAACAATAATAAAAACTTCAGTGACACATCCAGCGGATTCATGTGGGAGTTTATTCTGCATTCCTGATGTTCACCTAACTATTAATTTCTGCATTATATTCGAGCCTTTACCTGACAAAAAAGCCACTTCCAGAAATATAGCAGATTATAGCACAAGTTTAGCACTAATTTCTGTATTATTTACGAATGGTTTTTTTCTCCCTGGAAGCAAACAAAACAGAAACGAGTACTAAATTTGAGCTACGTTTCCAGAAGAGGCCTTTACATTGTGTGGAAACTCAAATATAACGCGGAATTTAACAGAATCAGAAATCAACAGAATCTGATTATCCTGGAAGATGACATGGTTTGCTGGCACTGTGAACAGAAGCATGTTTCGTTGCAGGTTCCACCTGTATCTGTCAATATTTTACCATCACACACTGCATGTCATTTGATGAACAGCAGAAAACCTGTCCTTTAATCTTGCTTTAAGCACTCTGCTAACATGACATTGATGGTTAAAGCAAGGATATAAAACCCCAACCTTATCAGATGCTTTTATGAGACTTCTGAGGCCTTGAAGAGTCTGCTAAGGTTCCCTAATACAGTCTCGCAAATTTGCTCCTTTCTCTTTTTTTAACTAATTTTAAACTAAAGAAGCTGATCATCTTCCAAGGAATAATTAGGAATAGCATTTTGAATACAGTACTTTCATTTGTAGTTAAAACTAACTATGTTATATTAAGCAACTGCACAGATATAAGTAAATAAATCTTTTTTTTTTAAGAGAAGCTAGTGAGAGTATGTAGAAAGCCCATACTCATATGAAAATAGCATCAATCTCTTGTTATGAAGGGACAGGATACCCAAATCCTGTCTGAAATCAACCCAGGCTTCAATAATCACCCCAGGCCTCAAAACTGTCCAAAACTCTTTTTGTCTTCTAAAAATCCAAAACAGCTTTTCTCTGCTTTTCTCACAAGATGCTGGTACATAGGCAAAATGTTACTTTTAAAGGCTAATGAATAGGCTCTGTCATTGCCAAGAATACTCAGGCCTGAGAAACGAATCTTATCTCATTCTAGTTGCAACACATCTGAACAAGCTGAATGCAAGGCTTCTCTCTCACACACACCCCTTTCCTGGGAAGAGTCCAATAGTCCCAAGACAGCTTTCTGTTCATGCTCAGAGGAACTCATGGGGCAGGACTCTTCACAAGAAGGAGGAGAAAGGAGGAGGGAACTGGAATGGGTATATATGCTTGTGCACATGACTGTGAACTCGTGCATGCTTTTTGTGAACTATCACACTTGCTCCTTCTTGCAGTTCATGGATGGTAGAAATAAAAGCCCTTTCTCTGAAACTATTCCTTGAGTGTCTGTTGACTCCCACTTCCCTTTCCCGGGCGCAATATTTTTCCCACCCGAGGGCAAAGCCTCATAAGGCTACAGTTACTTGTAGCAGAAATGATGCCTGGTTACTTACAGATTGTCCAGATATGCTAATATTAATACAGGTTTATTTTTAAGCCACAAATAGAAGATATGGCTAAATTCTAACAGTTAAATTACCATTACTCGGTGCCTGAATGAACATGTCAGAAGAAAAGGAAAGTTTTATTTCTTCACTTTTTCCTGATCTTTGCAGACTGTCATGGGTATGTGCACTGTTCACAAAGCACAGAGATTACTGAGAACTAGAGGTGGCTGAGCTTTAGAAAAATTATTCAAAAGCACAGTGGTTTAACAGGTAACACTTATAATCAAAGTTACTCTGAATCCTCTCTTGTTCACAGCCAAAGTAACAGCGTATTCTGCTCCTATTTACTAACCTGCACTGCAAAGGTAAGAAAGTATTTCCTGAACTCCTTTGGACTGCAACGAAGAACGTAATAGCCCGTCTGATTGCCAGCTTTCTTCAGTTTATTGATTGCGAAGTCCATGCTATTTTGGAAAAACAAGAGAGAGGGAGCACAAGTGTTAAGAGCAAGCTTTTAAAAGCTAGCAACCTTTGAGCTATGCAGAACATCCAGAGATTATCATATTTCTATCCCCGGTAAAAGTCTGTGACCATCCACTTACGGCTGCCTGCAGGTTACAACATCTGGGCACTTCTGGCAAACTCCTTTGGCAGCGCGAAAGGGAAACGGACTTACTACGAATTTCTAAATTGATGCTAGAGAACAGTCTCCCCTCTGAGTAAGGGAGGCAGAACCAAATCCCCGTTTCGCTAGCTGGAAGGGGTTCATTCGGTGTCTCATTTGAAACCTGGCAGAACAGAAGAGGCCAAACCACTAACAATACTAACAGATTGTTGAAATCATTATGGCAGCAGTTCAAATGCAAGGGGAAAAATCTGGCAAGAAAATGGGGAGGGCATAAGTATCTCTAGGATCTATTAAGTGTGGTCAGTGCCAAACTTGGATTTTATTTATTTATTTCCCACCCTTTCCCCCTGACAAGGACTCAAGACAGCTAGTAGATGAAACAGGAAATAAAATAAAATAGAAACAAATAAAAGCAATAATATCATTTTTATACACAAGAGGCAGCACATGCAGCTGCAAATAGGTAAGTAAAAATGCATTTGTTTTAGACCCCTAAGTAGTAGCAGTTGGCCAGGGCATCGCCCCATTCACCTCTACATAGCTACATCCTTATTTCATACTGGTATATCACAATGTTTAGCTGGTGATATATCACAGTGTTGAAAACCAGACATCCCTCAGCCCCACTGACAGCAAAAGCTGGAAATGACCCTATAACACAATATTGCCTTTCCTATGGAAAGCACGATGCCTCTCCTCATGTAACCTCCTTAAACTTTATTTAGAAAACTTATGTCTCATTTGATATCTTCAGGAAGTTCTCAGAGTGGCTCACCAAAAGATTCTCACACTCAGAATCTCGTAATATAGTATAGGGTCCTCATCCTTATTCCTGCCTAGTGACATCTAGAAAATGTGGTTCCTTGAAAGCAGTTTCTTGCTTGGGGTGGCTGAAGGGTTACTGGGTTAATCCCTACTTTTGCGCAGGAGAATGCCGTGACTAAGTTTTTAGGTCTATCCTCTTCCTTCTGACACCTCCCTAAGTTTCTGTCCAGCTAAGAGACAAAGATCTGAGGAGGAGGTGTCAAACAAGGGAGGAGAAATGTGGCTTGGAGTCCAGCAACAAAAGCCCGAAAGATGTTAGGATTTTGGCATGTCCTTGGAAGAGGCCTGGCACGTGAAAAAGAGTCACCCTGGTTGTTATTGTTTTGTTTCTGCAGAAGAAGAATGAGAAAGGATTGGGTGGAAACTGTTATGTAATGAAGTTCTCACCCTGGGCCAGCAGGGGGATACTGTAGATAGTTCAGGTCCACATATGCAAATAAGGGATCGAAAGTGACGTTCAGTGATTGGATAGTTACAGAAAGTTGTTACAGTTACGTTGTACTGGAGCTCTATATAAGCAGGCTGGCTGAACCCTTCAGTTCAGTTCTGTTCTGACCTAAGAATAAACAAGAGCTGTTTGGAGAATCGCTGTGTCGTCTGATATGTTCACCCACAACTTAACAGAAACTGAACACAGGAAGACAGTAAAGGTAAAAAAATGCTGGAGTTGGAAAGTTGCAGAGACAAAGACATGTGTTCTGCCCTGGACGAGGCAAGGCAAGGAAATTAGTGAGAAATCACCAGGAATGGAATGGACCTCAGAATCTGGTCTCATGGTTCCTTGCTACTCTTGGACAGAAGTCAGTAAATGGATACCTCCTTAAGCCCAAGGAGAGAGTAGGAATTAACCCGTGTCAAAAGAGACTTACGAGACTGTGCTTGTGCTCTGGAGGTGTATGAAGGGAGGTGAGCAATCCAGTTACCCACTTGGGGAACTCCTTTTCTCTGTCTCTCCTACAAAGGAGTGGGCGAGCCAGCAGCTCATGCTCAAAGCACCTTTGTCACCAAGCCCAGGTGGAAAGGAGGAACTGTAGGCTCCTCCTTCCAGCTGTAGAAGAGGAAGTGCAGTTTGTTTGGGACAAAGTAAACCACAGAGCCTAGGACTTGCCGATCAGAAGGTCAGCGGTTCGAATCCCCACAGCGGGGTGAGCTCCCGTTGCTCAGTCCTTGCTCCTGCCAACCTAGCAGTTCGAAAGCACATCAAAGTGCAAGTAGATAAATAGGTACCACTCTGGCAGGAAGGTAAACGGTGTTTCTGTGCGCTGCTCTGGTTCGCCAAAAGCGGCTTAGTCATGCTGGCCACATGACCCAGAAGCTGTACGCCGGCTCCCTTGGCCAATAAAGCGAGATGAGCGCCGCAACCCTAGAGTCGGCCACGACTGGACCTAATGGTCAGGGGTCCCTTTATCTTTACCCAAGAGCAATCTTCAGATGCTTCCTATAGCTGTATTTCTTCCCAAACCGGGGTGGAGAATAATAATAATAAAAAAAGAATGGAAAGGACAGAAAGTAGAGCTCAAAAGAGCTCAAAAAAGACAGTCTGCAACTCTTGCCCAACCTGGAGGTGGGGGCAATCCTTTGCCTTCCACTAGTAAGGAGGTGTTTTCTACCCCTCTGGTTAACAGGCTGAGAAATCCCTATGACGGACTTTTAACTGAAGCGCACAGAGACACTTAGCTCTTCAGAACCAGGTAATACTACACAACAGTACAAAAACAACCCTCACAGCCGGAAATATTTCTTTTTCCTCAAGCCTACAGAAAAGTTCACAAGAAGGGAACACTTAGCCCAAAAGCAATTTCCTTTGCTAGCAATGTTCTGTGCTCAATTCCAGATATTGATATCTGAATTGCCTTTTCTTCCTCCACAATTTCAAATTCTATTTCTGCCAGATCCTGCAGTGAACCTATTAAGAAGTTCTCTGTCTATGACCGCATATACCATCACCATGGTTATGGCTGGGAGACCTTAAAACTCACTGTTCTCTATTCACTGCATGACACATTCGGAACTGAACTGAGAATGAAAGAAAAAAACATCTTAAAACTTTGCATTAAGTGTTGTGGCTGAATAAACATGAATTCATTACAAAAGGAAGCACTGAGAGACCTTCCCACATGTTTTTATCAAGGTTTCACAGTATTTCCAGGGGGAGAGAGAGAGAGATAGGGAAAATATATTATTGTGTATTTAAAAAACCCCAATGGCAGGTGCATTTTTTAAAGTGTTCCTGGATGAAGGTGTATACATCCAGCCACTTCCTGCTGTGCCAAAATGAGCACCACGAGCCAAATAAAGCGCGTATCCAGCTGCACATCTGTACATACCTAAAAGATTTGGCATTAATTATCCTTGATGAACTAGGCAATTGCCTCCCAAGCAAAGTGGAGTTTCTTTCAGGGTTAAAGGGAAAAAAACCTTTTCAACATCTTATAAAACATGCCACTTACGAAATTGGCCCATGACAGTTGCTCTGAATATTCTCAATGATGGAAGGGGGTGCTACTTCTTTACAGAGGAAATGATGGGCATCTGCAGTTAATCTGTAATATCCATCAATCAATGCCACAAAAGAAAGAGCCTCTCTTAGTGAATGAAATTCAGCTTCCTGGAAAGGCAAGGGAGAAAGATAGTAAGATATTTATTATTTTTCTGGTAACACTAATCGCATGAATATGCTTCTGATGGTTGATCATTTTGTTGCGTTACCCACAAACGCTGAAATGAATAATCCATTCATTTCCATGACAAGGATTATGAACGGTTTGGTCAATGCATTAAGCCATGGGTAGGTAAACTAAGGCCTGGGGGCCGGATTCGGACCAATCGCCTTCTAAATCCGGCCCGCAGATGGTCCGGGAATCAGTATGTTTTTACATGAGTAGAATGTGTGCTTTTATTTAAAATGCATCTCTGGGTTATTTGTGGGGCATAGGAATTCATTCATTTTTTTTCTTTCAAAATATAGTCTGTCCCTCCACAAGCTCTATCGCGCCGTGTGTGTGAGCAGAAGCAGAGCTCTAGTTACGGGGTGCGAATGGCACCCCAGAACGGATCGAGTTTGTAACTAGAGGTACCACTGTATATCGTTGGACTATTGTATTTTAATACAGTGGTACCTTGCAAGACGAATGCCTCGCAAGACGGAAAACCCACTAGACGAAAGGGTTTTCCGTTTTGGAGGCGCTTCGCAAGACGAATTTCCCTATGGGCTTGCTTCGCAAGACGACAGCCCATAGGGAAATATCCGGGACAGCGGAGAAGCGCAGCGCGTCTTCCCCACTGTCCTCGGACCTCCTCCGAAGCCTGGCGGCGGGGCGGGAACACCTCCTCCCGCCGCCGCCGGGCTTCGGAACGATGCTCCGAAGCCGGGCGGCGGGGAGGGAACATCGTTCTGTGTTTCTCCGCTGTCCCGGACGGCTTTTGAAGGCAGGCGGGGGGGGGGGAGCAAAGACTTTCGCCCCCCGCCCGCCTTTAGAAGAGGTCCTGGACCTCTTCTGAAGGCTGGCGGGGGGCAAAAGTCTTTGTCCCCCCTGCCTGCCTTCCCAGGGGCTTTTAAATCGCCCCGGACAGCGGAGAAGTCCTCCGCTGTCCCGGGGCGATTTTAAAATGCCGCCCGCCAGCATTTTAAGATCGCCCCAGACAGCGGAGAAGTCCTCCGCTGTCCCGGGGTTTTTTAAAATGCTGGGGGTGGGAAGAAAAGCCCTTGTCCCCCCCCAGCCTTCAGAAGAGGTCCGGGGACAGACTGTCCCCGGACCTGGTCTGAAGGCGGTTTCCCTAGGAACGCATTAATTGATTTTCAATGCATTCCTATGGGAAACCGTGCATCGCAAGACGAAAAACTCGCAAGACGAAGAGACTTGCGGAACGAATTAATTTCGTCTTGCGAGGCACCACTGTATTCTGTTGGAAGCCACCCACAGTGGCTGGGGAAATCCAGCCAGATGGGCGGGGTATAATTAATAAGTTGTTGTTGTTGTTACAGTATTATATTGCCCAGATATTGCCCAGCCCTACAACCTAATGGGGATTAAAAAACAAACAAAAACCACACACATTAGATTTTTAGTAAGGTTTGTCTAACAAAGAATGGGGGGGGGGGATGTCTTCCACCCATTTTTCAAAATTGTGTAAATGTGCCATCGTGTGGGGAAAGACAGACAACTATGGGTCTCAGGCTAGATAGAACTGAACAGGACTCCCCTACCTCCTTATGTGCAGGTATTTCAGGAGAATGTTTCTAAGCCACATGCTCTGCCACAGCCCTGGGCAGAAAACAGGGACTGTGCTAAGCAGAGATACCGTGCTCAAATATATGTACGATCTCCATGTGGAATCATTGCCTTATTTGTGTCGGGAAGGAGACTGGATTGAGCATGTGAATTTGAGATGCACTCCCAATCTCAGCAGAGGGAGAAGGAGCATCTGAGCAGGCTATGATTTGTTGCACATGTGTGTATTTACATCGTTCTTCTGTGGTTAATGACTACGGCTAGGAATCTCAAAATGCATGAGGAAAGGAAAGGCTTATGGTGTGGCCGCCTCAAAATGGAACAGGAGGGTTGTTGTTTTTAAGAACATAAAGATTGCTTTTGCTACATTCTGCGAAAGTCACAGTCTAACTTACTTGCCTAATTGCCCGACACTGCAGATATGCAAACAAGGCAGGGCATCAAAATCCAATTTGTTTAGATGCACAGAAATGTAAGGTAATCAAAAGAGAAAGCCACTCTTACCAAATTCTTGCTGTCTTGCTTGTGAATGGTTACAATTCTATTCTCGCCAGAAGCTTCCTGGCTTGCTTGCTTAATACTGACATCGATAATGTCGGGGAAATCGCAATAGGTCTGTATTTCCTGCGAAAAGATGTTGCTTTATTAGGAAACGGGTTATTTGTGAGTGTTTTAGTCAGCCTTCTAGCCATCAACTGAAACGGAGCAATTGTAACATTATTCTCAATCGCCTGATTCTGAGGTAATAAGAAACATCCTTTCCTGCCAGAAAAACAAGTTTGAGCCTGGTGTTTGCACATTACTTCTCTACTCCCCTTTCACAATATTTATCAATGGCAGCTAAATTCTTGATTTCTACATCTTTACCACAAGGTGCAAGCCTCTGAATCAGGCAGACATTCAAGGTAAGAGTTTCCCAAGGGAAAAATCCCACTCTATGGACTGACGTTCAGAATAAACTGATGAAAGGCTAACCTTGACAACTGCACAGACTGAAGAAACAGAGCAGGATCGGGGTCTTATTTCTAAGAAGGCTACCATCTGTGCGCACAGACAGCATTACTCAAGTTTGCTTATCTCTGTTTAGATAAGAATCATCATACGCTTTAAGTGATGCTGCCACCACTAACAGATGAAATTTAAATTACAGAGAAATTAAAATAGCAATGTTCAAGCAGCAAAATCCAAAACACTCAAGAGAAAATCCCCTACAGACCTACAGTCTATAAAGTATCTAGAAAGGAAATATTTTATCAATTGAGTTAATTGTGTACCACCATGCATTAAAAATAATAATGATCTGTTAATGTATTATCCTCCTATAACACCACTGGAGAACAGAAAATGGTAATCTTCACTTCTCAGGCACATCTACTGCTAATCCAAATTATTTCCATGACAGTAAGGGACGTGGGTGGCACTGTGGGTTAAACCACAGAGCCTAGGACTTGCCGATCAAAAGGTCGGCAATTTGAATCCCCGCGACGGGGTGAGCTCCCGTTGCTCGGTCCCTGCTCCTGCCAACCTAGCAGTTCAAAAGCACGCCAAAGTGCAAGTAGATAAATAGGTACCGCTCTGGCGGGAAGGTAAACGGCGTTTCCATGTGCTGCTCTGGTTCGCCAGAAGCGGCTTAGTCATGCTGGCCACATGACCTGGAAGCTGTACACTGGCTCCCTCGGCCAGTAAAGCAAGATGAGCGCCGCAACCACAGAGTCGGTCACGTCTGGACCTGATGGTCAGGGGTCCCTTTACCTTTACGGCTAGTAATCTTAAAAGACTCGGGTGAAATCCCAATCAATGCTAGGCACAAATAAAAACCAATAGGAACTAGAGTCTGCATTGATACTAAGGATTGGGACCCTGCATTGCCCAAGCCACAGAACAGAGCTGGGTGTGCACTAAAAACCCAAAGAACCTTAAACCAGCCTCCAACTCCTCCCTCACCATTTATATTCTGCATACCTTTTCCTGCAAAGTACTTGCCACAATACTTTCAACTGACTGCACAATGGTAATTTCTACTTGGCCAGTAAGCATTCTATTGATGGAACCAAATCATTCTGCTTCCAGTGGTATTCTCGAAGCTTTCATAGTAAACAAAATACAGAAGTACAGTCGTACCTTGGAAGTCAAACGGAATCCGTTCTGGAAGTCCGTTTGCCTTCCAAAACGTTCGGAAACCAAAGTGCAGCTTCTGATTGGCTGCAGGAAGCTCCTGCAGCCAATCGGAAGCCCCGCTGGACATTCGGCTTCCAAAAATAGTTCACAAACCGCAACAGTCACTTCCAGGTTTGCGGCATTTGGGAGCCAAAGCGTTCGGGAACTAAGCTGTTCACAAACCAAGGTATGACTGTATGTTATAAGAGATTACCTGTTCTGCCAGTGTCTCACTATCCTTATGTTTCCCTCTTGAGCATTGAATTCCACCATTTCCGGATATAACAATGGTTGCAAAGCTTTCTTCACCCGAAGGCTCTCTGCCGGGTTCCTTCACTTCAAACACTTCTGAATAAAAGGCAGACTGGAGGGTCTCCAGATTTATGAGATATTTCAGTTTCAAGTTTCTGGCGGTTGCTCTGCACTGGCCAAACTGCTGGATGAATCTGCGGAATCTGTATCTTATCCTCTTTCGTGTCAGAATGTGATAATCCTGGATTTTTTCCCTGATGCATTTTGGCAAAAACATCTTGTAGCTGTGAACACAAAGACAACCAAGTGTGTGGCAAGATATTAATGAGTAGCTCAAAAGGGGCTGGTGGTATTCTTCTACAGAAGATGCAAGAGCAACTATCAGGGAAGTCCTAAACCCTAAAATCTTTTTAACTTATGAGCAAGTGGGACAGAAAACCGGGAGGCGAATTCCGCTGGAGATGTCAGGGTTTGCATCCTCAAACTTTCTCTCTGCAACGACTAGGAACCACCAGGCTGTATAAAAGAGGAATGTCACATCTGGTGAAATGGAGCAGGCCGCAACTTGCTCATATCTGCAAATGCCTTATCCAAATTCAAACTCTTGCTTTGCGGTGAAGTTGACTGGATCACCTTGGGCCAGGCACTTATCTCTCAGCCTAATCTTAAAATGGGGAGAGTCATGAACTGGAAACAAGTTCTTTGGGAAAAGGGGTAAGGCAACAGGCAATAAAAATAATAATGGTTTGGATCCTAATTTCCATTTTGTGCTTTCCTGCCTCCACCTCCCCTTTTACTCCTCCCTTCCCCATTTGCATAGCTACAGAAGAAGACGTCAAAAAGAGAGTTACCTCATAGAATTGTAGATGCCTAGTGGAGTTTGGTCCTTTTCTTTGGCCATCCTCATCATATCAAGAACAGCCATGCCAAGACATTCTTCTTGTGTTTCATGAGTGACAGGCATCTTCACCCACCCATGGACAAAGTCTTCCCGCCACTGGAGGCAAAAAACGAAGGCACAGAAATTCTGATGAATTTGGCCTACTGCTCTTTTCATTTATTTTCATCGCAGCTTGAGTTGTCTTCTATTGAATCAACTCGGAACTTAATTTGGACAAAGAAATCAGCTCAGATCTCAAAGGGGAATCAACACCTTGGTGCTGCTCTCAAGGCTGTCGTATTTTTATTTCACAGGATTATTGCATATTATTATTATTATTATTATTATTATTATTATTATTATTATTATTATTATTATTATTTTCTCCATAGATATTTATTGAAATTTTCAAAATATTACAAAATACAAAAAAGAAAATAAGAAAAATACCAAAAAAAATAAAAATAAAAATAGTTAAAAACAATTCCATCTTCCTTTACTTAACTTTCATTTGCTTATTTCCCGGACTTCCTCACCCCTCCCTTTCCTGTATTCCAATTCAATTTGTTAATTCAGCAAATCCTTCCCCACTTTATTTATCCTAATCTTTCATTGCATTACCTTAATCTATTTTCCTCATTATCTTATAAAAAACCTTATAATTCAAAACCTAAATCTTATTTTTACTAACTTCTCATAACCATTATATTCTTTCCTAATCCTTTAAACATATATACTAAAGCCAGGCAATTTCATTTCAAACATCCTTCTAACATTCATCAATTATGTAAGACAGTCCTAGTAACAAAATAAAGAAGAAAAAATAAAACAATCCAATCTTCATCCAGCGTCCCTTCCTCCTGGTCCCGGGTTTGTCAGTCCATTTTAATTGCATATAATTATTATTATTCCTGTGAAAATATCCATATTTGGATGAAGACATTCATTTCCAGCAGTAAAAACGCAGAGAAGAGCCAAATACATCCATACCCAAATAATACATTGTCAAAATTTTACCTGAGCAAACAAGTAAGACATGACAATGTCATCAAGGACAGGACTCTCTGCACCTCGGGAAACACCGTACCGAAATGCTCGTACATTGCTGTTACAATACCAGTGAGGGAAATAAAACCTGTTAAGAAACAAAGGCACGTATCAGTGCTTTTGCAGCCAAGACCACACATGTTACAAACATGTTTTTAATGAAATTCAGGCTGCTTAAAGGGCAAGGGCTTTGAATACTTTCACACAAGTTCAGATTGCCACTAAATTATTCCAGCTTGAAATGAGCCATCTCCACTGGAGTTGGTATTTAGCCAGCAAATAACCAAACATCAAAACTCATAGCCAATTTACTGGTCAAATACCACCACTCATTCCCCCCCCCGCCTCTTATGTTTCTATCTCAACTTTCTTCCATCGTGAAACCCAGAGTGATGTACAACTGCCCATTGAGACACTGACCAGACCCAGAACTACTTAGCTTCAGCAAAGCAGTGGCCTTTAGATAGTAGTGAATGGGGCATTAGGGTGGCACTGCTTCCCTGGCTTCCTTCCAGCCAAATTGCTCCTGAATACCAGGATGGAGAGTGGGAGAGGCAAGGCAGCAGTGGTGCAAACGCATTGGCAGAGGCAATCTGGTGCTCCTGCTGGCGTATTTGCACCACACTGAGTTCTCTGCTTCTTCCCTCTCCCTCTTTATTCTGGAATGCCTTAGATATACTATTGTGGTCTGACTCCGAAGGAGGGAGGTCACAAAAGGAGCACACCTCCCTGGCATTGTCTGCAACTGCCTCTGGGACTTACATTCATGCCTTACAACTGCTACTAAATAATTTTGCTAATTTTTAAAGCCTTGTCTTCTAGAGTTTGCAAAGTACTATGTCAGATCACAGAGAGGCAAATACAGCTGGTTCTATGAAAGTCTGGATTCCTGGGCACTTGCGGCCTGCGCTACTGTGATGAGTAAAATTTGGACCTGCTCATATGTCATAAGCCATGGCTTCCTGTTCGGGGATTCTTGTAGTTCCAACACATTGTCAGAGCATGGGAGCACAGAAAGTAGGGCTGGTTTTCAACATCGTGATATATCAGCAGCTAAATATCTCAATCTATGGATATATCGTGATGCCTGAAATGTATCTCAGCTGCTTCTTCCTCCCCCCCTTAAGCAGCTGAGATACATCACCCAGCCCAAGAGTGAGCCCCCATACTACTCTCGCTCATGTGAGCCAGGGGCAGAGAGCAGCTTCTTCAAAGGCACACGCACGGAAGACAGAGCCCAAGAAGGTGCTCACCTGCCTGCCTCCACCTTCGCCCAATTGGCCGGGCTGCCTCTTTCCTCCCCGTCAGTCGTTCCAGGAGTGACCAACCAGGAGGAAGCGGCAGCCCACCTGCAGGGGAAAACTGGAGGCAGTCAGGAGGGTGGAGCCTGTGTACGTTGCAGGTGAGCATCTTCTCAGGATCCCGTCTACCTGCCTGCCTATGCCTTTGCTGTCTCAGGGCAATTTGAGCTGGCAATACATGGCGAATGTATAGAGTCTGAAACCGGTATCACGGTTTGAACGTCATACGCTGGTTTCAGACAATTTATCAAAATATCGCTCAGCGATATCACTTTAGCAGACTCAGGAATCAAAAGTTTTGTGTCTCTTTTGTAGTAAATGTATACTTTCTTGTGCATTATGCAAACTCCATTTTAGGAAGCATGGCTTAGTTGGGAGAGAAGCTCTTTCGAGACAATTGTCAGGCATGGTACATAAGCTTCTGAACCAAGCCTGTATCTATGTATTTTATGGACTCCTCTGGCAAGCTTCCCGAAACTCCTACCCTTGACACGATGACATAAAGGAACAGGCGGTCTGGCCTCCCCAGAAACATTATGGCAAAACGGTTTAAAAACCTCCTTTATGTTTGTGATGCAAGTCACACTGTGGTACATTGAACCTTAAGATGGGGGCTACTCAATGGGAATTTTTCTAGACTACAGAAGTACACACACTGATCCGCAGATGTTTTACATCCTGGAAATATATGCAAAATGGTTCTATGACTAGAGGGAATGCCTTGGTTGCTAGGACACAGTTGAAATGCAGCCATTGTTCAGACACAACTGCTTATTTAAACAAAATGCTGCAACCTCATACATGCATACCTGGAAGTAAACACCCACATCTACATGCTTAGAATTGTACAGTAATTGCAATGCAATCCATTTAATAATAATAATAAGAGAACATTCCACTGAAATTATTTTTAATAAATGGGCCCATCAAATAAATTAAATAGCTCTGGGTTTAAATAAAATAGATAATCAAGTTTACTACAAGGAGGAGTAAAAGTGGTCATCAAGTGATTCCGTTAGCTTTCAGGGGTCTGCCCCTGCCTCCATGTACATTTGCTGTAACCTCCATAAAACACACATGGAATAAAACTGACTGTAAAATGTATGGACAAAGAGCGTTATTCTTCTTACGAACCCCTCTGATAATTAAATGGAAATAAAAAAGTTGTAGGAAATTAATCAATTATTTCAACCTACATTATAGTCCTTTAGTTTAAGAGAAATCTGATTAAACAAAAACCATTTTGATTTAAACAAAAACAAGCTAAGATATTAACCTTATCCGGTAGAGAACAGTGAGACTGGTTGATCCCTCTACTTGGAAGGTGTGGTTTGGGGGATACCAACATCTGTCTGTCTGATTCATTAGTGCAAACATGTTATGGTACACTGGCAAGATACCTAAGGAAAAGAAAAGACAACGATGTTTTATTTGCAAGATCTTTTTCCTGCGTTGAAAACGTGCTGCTGCTAAGCAGTTGTTGTACTTGTCACGCCCGCAAGGGTTTAATACTTTCTTTTGGATTTTAGGTATGAAGAGGTTGCCATGGGAAAGCTTATGAAAAGAAAACATTCAGATCACACTGAATTTGGTTCGGCTAAAGCAACAGATAACGAGAATATAATAAATAGTTATAACATTGGAGAAAGAGGGCTGAGACAGGCCTGTTCATCCCTTAACGTGGTACCCATTCCAAGATGTGCTTCAGTAAACAGAACATCTGCTTCTGGAATACTTTTAACAGCTCCAACACCCAACTAGAACAATTCTTTGTATGCTTGTTTTTGTTTCTTTAAGATATTTTATACCACTATTCGGATGGATCTCACAGAGAGGTTTATAAAATGTTACTTATATCCTCTTTTTCTTTTTTGATATTTATTTATTTATACTTTTCAAGTTTATACATTTCACTAGTTGTATACAACTCACTAATTTTACATTCATTTTGACATTTCAAAACTTGACTTCCATCCCCCTCTTTCTGCGGTTCCTTAAATTTGTTTTTAATATCTTCTGCACATCCAAATTAACTTAATTTGCACATTTATTCATCTTATATATATATATATCCTGTTTTTTCAGTATACAATTCTACCAAGGCAGGATCTTTACAAGAGGCATTAAAATAAGTTCTAAAAAACCACAGCCAACAATAGCAAGCATTTCCCAAACTTGGCCCTCCAGCTGGTTTTGTTTTTTTACTACCACGCCCATCATCCCTGACAACTGGTCCTGATAGCTAGTGATGATGGGCAGTGCAGTCCAAAAACAGCTGGAGATCCAAGTTTGGAGAAACCCTGCATACAGCTCTATCAACGTACAGCCCAGTTCACAGTTTTCCTCACCTGGTTACAGTCATGTGCATTGCGGAAAGTCGGTTGTGAGTGCACACGGGAAGAGCAAAGTATGAACTAGCCCCAAGACCAGCAAAATCGGGCAATGGTGCTCAGTGAGGAGAAAGGTTGCTTTTAAGCACCAGTGCTCTGCGGACTGGCTCAGGCAACATGATGAGAGACAACAGCACTTTTGTGTAACTTCTGTCTCCTTGTGTTTTGAAAACTTTTTTTTAAACTATTCCAAAACCGAAAAAGAATTACAAACATCAAATTCAAAATCAATATTCGTTTTGTAACATAAGCCTATTACATAGTTCAGTGTTCACCAACCTTGGGCCTCCAGCTGTTTTTGGACTACAATTCCCATCATCCTTGACCACTGGTCTTGCTAGCGAGGGATGATGGGAGTTGTAGTCCAAAAACAGCTGGAGGCCCAAGGTTGGGGAACACTGACATAGTTGACTAGATTAAAATATACCTAATTGCTATAGACTTCCTTTTTGTTATGTACTGAAGTTCTCACCCTGGGCCAGCAGGGGGATACTGTAGATAATTATGCAAATGAAGGATCGAAAGTGACGTTCAGTGATTGGATAGTTTGTATGCAAATGAAGGATCGAAAGTGATGTTCAGTGATTGGCTAGTTACAGAAAATGGTTACTGTTGCATTCTAGTGGAGCTCTATATAAGCAGGCTGACTGAGCTCCTCAGTTCAGTTCTGTTCCAGCTTACAAATAAAGAGCTGCTTTGGAAGAATCGCTGTGTCGTCTGATATGTTCACCCACAACTTAACACTTTTGCTATATCTAAATGCAACACAATTAGCAATATTATATTAGAATTTTTTATAAATTCCCCTATACCCCCCACTCCTGGGCCAGCAGGGGGATACTGTAGATAATTATGCAAATGAAGGATCGAAAGTGACGTTCAGTGATTGGATAGTTTGTATGCAAATGAAGGATCGAAAGTGATGTTCAGTGATTGGCTAGTTACAGAAAATGGTTACTGTTGCATTCTAGTGGAGCTCTATATAAGCAGGCTGACTGAGCTCCTCAGTTCAGTTCTGTTCCAGCTTACAAATAAAGAGCTGCTTTGGAAGAATCGCTGTGTCGTCTGATATGTTCACCCACAACTTAACACTTTTGCTATATCTAAATGCAACACAATTAGCAATATTATATTAGAATTTTTTATAAATTCCCCTATACCCCCCACTCCCCTTCACCCATGTGTGATCTCAATTTTTTTTTACTTCCATCTTGTTGTGTTGTTGTAGTTTAATTATTATTCAATTGATTATTTTATTATTTGCTTGTTTTACACATTATCTATTAATATTCCAGTTCCGGAACCGTATTTTTTCATGTATTCCTTCATTCCATCCCACTCTTCAATTGTTCTTTGATTTGAATGGCCTCTAATGATTGCCGTCACCTGGTTACAGTCATGTGCATCGTGGAAAGGAGGTTGTGGGCGCACATGGGAAGAGCAAAGTGTGAACTAGCCCCACGACAAAGCAAGACCAGCCAAATCAGGAAATGGTGCTCAGTGAAGAGAAAGGTTGCTTTTAAGCGCCAGTGCTCTGCGGACTGGCTCAGGCAACATGATGAGAGACAACAGCACTTTTGTGTAACTTCTGTCTCCTTGTGTTTTAAAAACTATGGCTCTAGATGGATTAATATATACAAGGTTTAAGACATGCCTAAGGTTTAAGACAGCAGCCACGAAATTAAAAGACGCCTGCTTCTTGGGAGAAGGGCAATGACAGGCCTAGACAGCATCTTGAGAAGTAGAGACGTCACCTTGCCAACAAAGGTCCGTCTAGTTAAAGCCATGGTTTTCCCAGTAGTGATGTATGGAAGTGAGAGCTGGACCATAAAGAAGGCTGATCGCCGAAGAATTGATGCTTTTGAATTATGGTGCTGGATGAGACTCTTGAGAGTCCCATGGACTGCAAGAAGATCAAACGCATCCATTCTTAAGGAAATCAGCCCTGAGTGCTCACTGGAAGGGACAGATCATGAAGCTGAGGCTCCAGTACTTTGGCCACCTCATGAGAAGAGAAGACTCCCTGGAGAAGGCACTGATGCTGGGAAAGATGGAGAGCACAAGGAGAAGGGGGCGACAGAGGACGAGATGGTTGGATAGTGTTTTCGAGGTTACCAGCATGAGTTTCACCAAACTGCGGGAGGTAGTGGAGGACAGAGGTGCCTGGCGTGCTCTGGTCCATGGGGTCACGAAGAGTCGGACACGACTAAACGACTAAACAACAACAACAACAAGAAAAGATACACAACAGAAGATGGGAGAAGGTTACCGTGAGAACTCTGCTTGACCTTGTCTGGGGCAAGAGCAGCTCTTCTTAGGCTAGAAAGCCCCAGATTTCCACCAAAGCAAAGCAAAACATTCAACAGCTTCTGTTTGTAGAGAACCAGTCTTCACATATTGCAGCAATCACTTGCTAAGGAAAAGGTGACTCATTTGTGAGTCACTTTGGGCATCAATTTGGCAGAACAGCATTCAACCATAACTAGAGGGAGATGAAGCTTTAATGAAGCACCTCTCTCGGTGCCAACGGAATGGCAGAAAGAGCCAACATTTGTTTGGACTGGTTTGGCAGCTGGTGGTTTCAAATATATGGAAAGTCCCAGCTTTAAACCAACGTGAGATTGGTTAGCTTAACAGCTTTCCATTTGAAACAAAAAGCTTATTTGCCTTCTATAAAAACACCCGAGAACAATGGCCAAGGAGCAATTCAGCTTTAACCAGCAATTCATATTTATTATTTGCAGGAATATGTTGAAATTTCATGTTGTAATAAGCAAGCTGGACTCTTTACGAACCTGATGAAGAAATAATGATTCAGGATGAACGTTTGATGTAATTTCCCGTCATTTCTACAAAGCAGCCTAAAGCTATTTGTACAGAAGAGTGTAAAATACAGATATTTGGGGCTATGGGTTGCGTGGGAAAGGCTGGTGTCACACCGGGGATTTTCCATAACCAACACAAAAAGGTGCATTTATCCTTTCCTTATACACCTTTGTTGCACTCCCATGAACTCCAGCCGTTCCGCAGTCATTTCAGAACATAAGTAGATAATGAATAATCATAAAAACTAATGCACTTCTGAAAGACTAAAAGCACCAGAATGGAAGGGAACTAATGCAATACTCTGAACCTCACTGTTTATCCCAGTCCCTACACTTATGCCATGACATACGGGTGGCGCTGTGATCTAAACCACTGAGCCTCTTGGGCTTGCCAATCAGAAGGTTGGTGGTTCGATTCCCCGCGATGGGGTGAGCTCCTGTTGCTCTGTCCCAGCTTCTGCCAACCTAGCAGTTTGAAAGCACGCCAATGCAAGTAGATAAATAGGTACCGCTGTGGTGGGAAGGTCAACGGCGTTTCCGTGCATTCTGGTTCCCGTCATGGTGTTTCATTGTGCCAGAACCGATTTAGTCAAGTCAGCCAAATGACCCAGAGAGCTGTCTGTGGACAAACGCTGGCTCTCTCGGCCTGAAAGCGAGATGAGCGCCACAACCCCACAGTCACCTTTGACTGGACTTCATTGTCCAAGGGTTTTACCTTTTTTTACTCTAACTTTTTGGATACTGGGTGACAATCTAGTTTTCAACACTGCAATATATCAGCAGCTAAATGCTGCCATGTACTGATATATGGACCATAAAGAAGGCTGAAGGCTGATCGCCGAAGAATTGATGCTTTTGAATTATGGTGCTGGAGGAGACTCTTGAGAGTCCCATGGACTGCAAGAAGATCAAACGCATCCATTCTTAAGGAAATCAGTCTTGAGTGCTCACTGGAAAGGCAGATCCTGAAGCTGAGGCTCCAATACTTTGGCCACCTCATGAGAAGAGAAGACTCCCTGGAAAAGACCTTGATGTTGGGAAAGATGGAGGGCACAAGGAAAAGGGGACGACAGAGGACGAGATGGTTGGACAGTGTTCTCGAAGCTACCAGCGTGAGTTTGACTAAAGTGCGGGGGGCAGTGGAAGACAGGAGTGCCTGGTGTGCTCTGGTCCATGGGGTCACAA